GAGGGTAAGAACTTACTCCTTTAAATATCTGAAATTTCCTCCAAATCGCCTGAGACTCAGGGTAATCGCTACTAAACCACTTTCTGAAAAGTGGCCACAACCTGGAAGCCACACGGTGGTCCTCCAGCGGGTGAGTGGAAAGCATCGGTACCTCCAGGCCATGGACTGGGATTCAGCAGTGCACAGAAAGGAGGTGTCCAGCCAGGAAAAGACAAGGAAGCACTTTAAGTGCCTATGACGAAGTGAAAGAAGGACATCTGAAAAGGCAACATCCTGTATGATTCCAACTACATGACATTCTGTGACATTCTGGAAGAGGCAACACTATGGACACAATGAAAAGATAAGTGGCCCCCAGAGGCTGGGGGAGGGAGGGGTGAGTAGGCAGGGCACAGAGGACTGTCAGCGCAGTGAAAGGGTATCTAGAGTACTATAAGGTGGATGCGTAACATCACGTATTTTCCAAAACCCAAAGAATATATAACTCCAAGAGCGGACCCTGCTATAATGTACGGACTTTGGGGGATAACACTGTGTAGTGGAGGTTCAGCAGCGTATCGGGTGTCCCATGCTGGTGGTGGTGTTGATAATGGAGAAGGCTATGCATGTGTGGGGCAGAGAGTATATGAGAAATAGCTGTACTTTCCAGTCAGGTTTGTTGGGTCCTTAAAACAGCTTGAAAAAATAAAGTCTATTTAAGAAAGAAAGAGAGAGAAAGAAAGAAGGAAAGAAAGAAGAAACAAAAAGGAAAGAAGAAAGAAGGAAAAGGAAGAAAGGAAGGAAAAAAGAAGGAAGAAAGGAAGGAAGGGAGAGAAAGAAAAAAAGAAGGGAGAGAAAGAAAGAAAGAAAAAAGAAAGGAAGAAAAAGAAAAGGAAGGAAGAGAAAGGAAGGAAGGAAAGAAAGGAAGAAACGAAGGAAGGGAGAGAAAGAATGAAGAAAGAAAAAAAGAAAAAAGGAAGGAAGGAAGAGAAAGAAAGAAACAAACAAAGAAACAAAGAAACGAAGAAAGAAAGAATCGAATGTAAAAGCCTTTAGGCCAAATTCACAAAGACTGCGCATCCAGGAAGCACCAGGATGTGCCAGTTGTAGTGACCTTGGATGACCTTGGATGAGTATGCAGACGCCCAAATGGAGACAATTCCAAGCCCAAAAGAAGAAGTGGGTCTGCTGTTGAAGGAGAAGGAGATAAACTAAGGCTCCAAACGGCAGGTGCCACACAAGCCAACGGAAAACCCAGAAGTGGAGCGGAGGCCAGTGTGACGGCAGGACCGGAAGACATGGAGCTGTGGAGGAAGGCAGCCACCCAGTGACCGTGGGCACGGCCCCTCCGGGACGCACGGCCCCCCCGGGACGCACGGCCCCCCCGGGACGCACGGCCCCCCCGGGACGCACGGCCCGGGCGCGACTGCCGCCTGCACGTCGAGCAGACGGTACCACGAGGAAGCCCGGTTGTGACCGCGGGGACTGCGTGGGGGGTGTCTTTGCAACGGGCCCCGCAGAACGACGGCCTTCCTTGCTCCCTCTGAGCCGAGGCATGGCCGTGTGACCGGACGGGGGGCCCGTGCGATGGGCGCCTGAGCAGCCCTCACACGCCTCTCCACGCATGCGCGCGGGCTCAGGCTGCCTCCCGTTAGAGCAGAAATCAAAGTCTTGGTCAAACTCTGCGGCCAAACCGGTGTCCACTGGCTAACGTGCCACGGCCGGGAGCGTGTGACCAGCTCTCCCTGACCCCAGGGTCCCTCCAGCACGGGGCCAGTGACACCTGCGGCTGCGGGAGGCTGTGCGCGGAGGGCTACCCTGCGCATTGCAGAGGGGCGTCCCTGGCCCCTACTCGTGTTAACAGCACCCCTTCCCGGGCTGTGACTCCCAGAGATGCCTCCTGACAGTACAGCTCCAGGTATCTGAGGGGCCCAGAAAAATCCCGTGCAGAGAGACAGTACGGTGGCCGCTGCCAGGGGACGGAGGGGAGGACGGAATGGGGGAGTCGTTCTTGAACGGGGACAAGACAGACATAAAGGGCTCTGGAGTTGGACGGTGGTGACGGCCGCACGACGGTGTCCGTGTGCCTAATGCCACCGAACCACACACGGAAATAGTCAAAATGCGAAATTTTATGTTACGTGTATTTTGCCACGATTTTTAAAAACAGGAGGGGAAAAAACTGTCCTTAGGCGTTGCCAAACGTCCCCTGGGGGACGAAACTGCCCCGGGGGGGGGCGGGGGGGGGGCATGGTCCTAGGTGGAGGGGCAGCTCATTGCAACCTGTGGGTGAAAACGCAGGGCTCAGCTGCTCTACACCAATCAAGGGGCCGGGGTTCCAAGGCTCCCACGATGCCTTTCCTCTGCTCAGGTCTTCGGCCAGGATCTCCACAATCCCACAGTTTGATCCCGAAAAGCCTCCTTCCCAGGAAGCCCCAAACTGATGTGACACAAATAAGCTCTGGAAATTCTCACGCTGTTCTGAGCTTTTCCCTCCAGGGCACGGACGGAATACACTAGATACTTCATTTGGAATAATTATTCCTCCGACCTCCTGGCTCCTTGGGCTCTGAGACTAAGGGCCAGAGGCGGGTTGAAGCAGAAGAGAGACCGGAGGGATCCCAGCACACCTGCGGTGCGGGCATGTGACAAGCGTTTGTGATGGTCGCTGCCTGCGACCGTCCCGGGATTCCCCGCTGACCCGGAAGGAGCGGGGTCCCCACGTCCGCTCCCCCACTCTCCGGTTGACGCTGGACCTGCTCCCCCAAACCCGCGTGACCAGCACGAACCGATTCCCAGTCGTCGCCTCTTCGGGTTCCCAGGGCCAGAATCCTGAACGAATGAATCGCTTCACGCGCTGTGGTTTCCGCTGCTCCGTTCAACACCTGCTCCTGATTTGCTAACTGAGCGCCTGGTCCCGCCCAGCTTTGCGTCCCCGCCCCTCCGGCCCCCAGCTCCGCCCACCCTGGACCCACCACCGGGGCTCCAGCCCCCAGCCCCCAGCCCCGGGGCTCCCACCATCAGTTACTTGCTCTCAGACCAGAAACCTTAACCTCTCCCTCCCTAGGGCTCCTTCATTTATCCCACAGAGTAATGTATTTAAGACAGTCCCCGTTTGAGGGGGTAAAAATCTCTATTCCTGTCTCTCTCTCCAGTTCCTTACAGCAAAATCCACACTCTTCCTTGATACTTATTTACCCCTGTAATGGGGTGATCAGTGCCCCCCCCCCCCACGGTTTATGGTTTTTCCAGGAACCTTAGAGTGTGATCTTATTTGGAAATAGGGTTTTGCAGGGGTAATTAGGTAAGTGAAGGGGGTCACCATGACCAGTGTATTTATAAGAGGGGGAGGCGAGGGGTTCCCGGGGGGCTCCGTAGGCTGAGCGTCCGACTTCAGCTCAGGTCATGATCTTGTGGTTTGTGAGTTAGAGCCCCGCGTCAGGCTCTCTGCTGACAGCTCAGAGCCTGGAGCCTGGTTCAGATCCTCTGTCTCCCTCTCTCTCTCTCAAAAATAAATAAACATTAAAAAAAAAAGAGAGAGAGACAGGAACAGCACTCAGGAGAACGCCACAGAACGACGAAGGGCAAAATGGGGCAATGTGTCCACAAGCCAAGGAACCCCCAGGATTGCTGCTGCCCCAGAAACTAAGAGGAAGGCAGGGAACAGACCTTTCTTAGAGCCTTCAGAGGGAGCATGGCCCTTGTGACACCTTGACTTTGGACTTCTGGCCTCCAGGACAGTAAGAGAATATACTGCTGCTGTTTCAAGACATCCAGTCGGAAGTGGTTGTTGTGACCAATCCAGGAAACAAATATAGCCCGGAAGTCACCACGATTTTCCTTCCAGTTCCAAGATTCTTCTGCATGTGGCCTGCTAGTGCCAAATCCAGCCTTCCTTCTCTTCTGCGCCTGTAACCGCGCTGGCCCCTGGTTCTCCTCGACCTCTCCTCAGCCCCCAAGTGCCTCCTACTCACAGGCACCTAGTGATCAGGGCTGTCCCGTGTCGCCCCACCTGTCTTCTCCTCTAGCCATGGCTGCTGCAACCTCCTCCAAGCACCAGCTCTCCCTCCGCCCACATGCCAAAGGCTCCCCAGACCACCTTCCCGAATTTCAGTTTTCAGTTTCCTACCACAGCCTGGACACTTCCATCTGGTGCTTGCGCAGGCATCTCAGAGGCTCCAGAGCTGAGGTAGATGTCTCCATCTAGAATCGCCTTCTCGAACGTAACTGCTTTTCCTCCTATAAGTGTGTGTCCACGTAGGGGCACAGGTCAGATGCCCGGCATCTTCCTGGACTCCTGTACCCTCACAATAGTTACCATACCAAAGGATACCATGTGGGGCGGGGGGTGGGGGGAGGTGGTAATAAATCCATCCCCTCCTTTCCATCCCTGCTGCTACACCTTTAATTCAGACTCACTACCTCTGGTCACTAGTAGAAATCCTTGCTCAATTCCCTTTTTTTTAATTTCTCAAATGTTTGTTTATATTTGAGAGAGAGATTGCACACAAGCAGGAGAGGGCAGAGCGAGGGGGTCAGAGGATCTGAAGCAGGCTCCGTGCTGAGCGCAGAGAGCCCAATGCGGCGCTTGAACTCACAAATGTGACATCATGACCTGAGCTGAAGTTGGTCGCTTAACAAACTGAGGCACTCAGGCATCCCCTAAATTCCATGTGAATGCTGCTCTTGTGGGGAGGGAAAGCTCTCTTATACCATCTTGAAATCAGTAACTTCAAATGCTCTAGAAGCTCCCAGTTGCCCCCAGGACACTGTCTTTAGCACAACTTGGCTTAGAATAATAAAGCTTCGTAGTATCTGGCTCTCAGGAGTTAAGAGTAAAAAGACTCAGGATTGAGTTCCAGGATCTATGATAGACTTGCTGTGTGGTCCTGGGCGAGGTACCTACCTCTCTGTGCCTCAGATCAGATTCTTCCTCTGTAAAATGGGGATAATGATAGTGCCTCCACTCACTGTGTTGCTATAAAGATTAAATGTCGAAAGTGCCCAGAACTGCATCCAACATGGCGTACGTGAGCACTAAATACTCTATTTCTGTAAGTACTACCTTCTACCCTCCTTTGCTCTCAGCCCTGAATGTGGCCAATCAGAATGAACTTCTAATCACCCATGTGTTCCTCTGGTTCTTGGCCTCAGCACCTAGTAGAACACCATTTCCCTCCCCCCTCTTCTCCCAAGTACCCAGTGAATAGACTTCACGACTCCTCTCCTGGGGCACCCGGGTGGCTCAGTCGGTTAAGTGTCCTACTCTTGATTTCAGCTCAGGTCATGATCTCACAGCTTGTGGGTTCAAGCCCCACATCGGGCTCTGTGCTGACCGCGTGGCTCCTGCTTGGGATTCTCTGTCTCCCTCTCTCTCTGCTCCTCCCCACTCATGCTCTCCCTCTCTCTCTCTCTCTCAAAATAAACAAACATTAAAAAAATTAATTTCCTCCAGAAGCTGCCCCACCCGCTACTGGAGTTAGATGTTCCCTCCATTGGGCCTTCATCAGCCCCTTGTGCTCTCTCAGAGCACAGATCACAGTACCAACTGCTTCCTCTCTGTCAATTGCTTCAGGCAAGACTCGGCCTTCTTGACCTTGGCAATGCCGGCACCTGGCACAGAGCAGCTGGGTAAAGGCTGTAAAATTAAATGATGCTGCATATGGACATAGAGTAGAGGTGGGGTACAAATCTGTCCCCAGCTGCCTGGGACAGTCTGCTTTGGACCATGATCCTGATGTAATTATTAACAGGGCCCCTTTCTCTCCCAAAGCTGTCTCCCTACGCACAGTGAAGGGTCAGGTAACTCGAGGTGTAATGCCTACAGTTCTACCCCCTGAGACCCAAGTCCCCTTTGCTTGATGACTTTTGGAATGGCTGGCATGCTATATACTTCAAAAGAATTGATCACAGAACTTGAAAAGAACAGAATTCCTAAATAATTGATGTAAATGTCCCAGATCAGAGGGAAAGGAGATTTAAAGGTAAAGTACTTTAAAATTACATATCTTTTGATGTACAAGGGCTTGGGTCAATGACTTCTACCTCTGGCCAAGATGGAGCAAAAGAGACCAACAGTACCCCCCAACCCACCCACCTGAAACAACTGGAAAACTAGACAACATATAGGAAGCAAGGGTCTCCAAGACACTAGAACTAAGCAATAAAGGACAGTGATTTCTCCAGAGATGGAAAACAAATAGGGGAGCCCTCCCACTGTCCCTGCTTACTGTCTCATGATGGTTTCCTAGCCACAGCACAGGGAGCTGGTGTAGGCTGGGCGCAGAGGTCTCCCCATCTTGAGAAGCCAGAGCTGGGAGTCCAGGAAGACCAAGGTGGCTAGACCATGCAGGGCAGAGGTAGTCGGGAGGGGCCTGAGAATACTCCTCCCCTCTAGTATCCTGCAGAGGACTGATCCAAGCGTGCATGTGAGAAGATGGCCTGAGCCTGGAGAAAGAACCACGCACAAGGATTAAAGGGAGAGCACAGGGTGCTCACATGGGGCCGGGAATAGTGCCCGTTGCTGTCCGCCAGGCTGGAAAGCCTCCATTCATGCGGCTTAGGGCAGAGTACTCAGCTGGGTTCTGCCTCGGTGCTCGGGGCACAAGAGCTCCAGATCACGTGCTTTTCTTAATGCCCAATAAAGCAGGAGCTGAAGATCAAACCCTTTCCAAGTAGCTTAACAGTGTGACGGAACCAACCTCAGGAACAGTTATGGAAATACACAGCTATCAAGCACCCGACTGTGGGGAAATAGGTTCTACTTACATAAATGGGTTAGAAAAAAAAAAGCTTAGGGCAGAAAGCTGCCACCACGGTGCGAAAGCACTGATGTTAGCTAGTGAGATACTGTAATGGTGACAGGGAAAAATCTGTTATAAGATGACCAACAGGACTGATAGGGAAATTCAAGTCCCTGACTGAAGACTCCCTTTCCGGGGTCTTCTTCCCACGTCACTTATTGCGCGTACCAAATTACTACTAATGTGGAATAAGGAAGTAACAGACTAGAAATTGTTCCCTCTGCTTACTCTCAGGCCACAGATCTCTGGAGAATGATCTCCTCTGAGCCCACCGGTGTGAAATAAACCTCCTGCCTTCCAAGATCTCCAAGTGCCACTTGGTTCTTCCACTGGGTGATCCAGACCAGGCTCCGTAACACTGGAATCCTGAGTAACCCGTTATGTCACCTGCAGGAAATTACTTTCCATCTGACACCGACATACTATTATACTCTGATCACAAACTCCACTTGCCCCCCAGACCCTTTGCTTCTCACACACACAAGTTAATGGTTACTGTCTGATTGTTCACATGGGTAAGATGTGTTTTCTTCACATTCACCACATGTGTAAGATCTTGAGCGCTCAGTAAATACAGAGAGGAAACCCTTGTTCAAGCTTTGGTCCCCTCCTGGACATCAGCCTCTCTCGTATTCAATTCTGTATCCGCTCTCTTGCTGGATAAGAAAGAACCCCAGACTCATGTTTCTGTGACACCCAACAACGTTCAGTTCACAGTGCCTGTCACCCAGTCAGAAAGTATCAGGGATATGAAGAGGCAAGAAAATCTGACACACAGTGAGGATAAAAATCAAAACCAACCCAGAAATGACATATATGACAGAGTCAGTGTACAAGTACATTTGAAGAGTTATGGAACCGTATTCCTTATGTTCCAGAAGCTAAGGACTGAATATTGTAACTGCACACAATGAAGATCTAGAAGAAGACCCAAATGCACCTCCTAGAAATGAACATCATAATGCATGAGATGAAAAGCACACAGGAGGGGATGAACAGCATATCACACATTGCAGAAAGAAAGACAAGCAAATTTTTTAAATTAGCCAAAATGAAACACAGAGGAAAAAATACTGAAATAAAATTAAGAGCATCGGTGAGCTATGGGGCAACTTTAAGCAACCTAATATATTTGTATTTGGAATCCCTGGAGGGAAGAGGCACAGGAAAAAAAAATTAGAAATACAGTTAAGATTTTTCCATATGTTCAGGTAAAGACAGACACAGACGGCAATGAACTAGTCAGATGCCTGCATTTAAACCTGTAAAACATCATCAAAGTGACAGCCACAAATGCAGTCCATTGCAGGAGGTGAGATACTGGGGATTTCAAATCAAATACCACAAGGTGTCTTCTTCCTTGGACAGGACTGTCTGGTATATTTCAGGATGTCCCTCAACCCTAAATATCACCCAAGAAAATGTCAGTAATGCCTCCCAATCATTGTGCCCAAAAAAACAAAACAAACAAACAAAAAAAACCACTCCCTGCGTGAGGTTCCTTTCTTTGATAACCATCGGTCTAGAACAGACCAGGGGCAACAAACGATGACCTACCCATGGGCTGACAGTGTATGTCCCGTGAGCTAAGATGGCTTCACGTGTTTAAAGGTTGTGAAGAGGAGAAGAAAGAGGAGGGAGGAAGGAAAAGAAGAGACCCAGGAGGAGAATAAAGAGGGAGGGAAGAAGACCAGGAAAAGTGGCATACGGCCCACAATGCCTAAAACAAGATTTTGCCGCCCCCTGGTCGAGGTTCCACAAGAAGCTTATTACCCAATGGGGAATGAGGAGGTTTTTGGGGTGACAGTGGGGTCCGTGGGGTCTGGAGCCAAGGGCCAAGAAATAATTCTTGAAGGCATCTTTGGTGCAAAAAGGTGATTTTATTAAGCACAGGGACAGGAAGGACCAGCGGGCAAGAAGAGCTCCAGGACCACGCAGAGAGACTGGTTTTATACCATAGAGTTGGGGGAGTAAAGTTGGGGAAGTTTCCAGGGAGACTTTCATATGCTAAAGAAGACTCCCAGGATAGCGGAGGCCTAGCTACTGTCAAGCTAAGGTTGTTTCTCCCTGGAGCAAAACATTAAAAAGACACTAAGGAGTTCCTGGAGAATGTTTTACTCTGCCTGCCTTAAGTATCTGTCAACAGGCTGCTGGTTATAAGGAAACTTAGTTCTATCTGCCATTTCCTTCTGCCTTTGTTTCCCACATCACTATGGAGGGGTGATGGAGAGCAAGTCCTGCAAGACTATGGTCTCCATCAGTTAACCATTTGTCTTTCCTTTGTTCTCAGGCAGCGGGCAGTGCCCAGGAGTATCGAATGTATCCCACGGGCCGGGAGGGGGGTGGGGGTGCGGCTTGTCTGCTTGCCTCTGCTCCCTCATCGGAGAATGTATCTGTTAGCATTCGGAGACACAGAACCCACGTGAGTGATATGCAATCAAGGATTTATTATAGGGACTAGACGTCATGCAGTCCTGAGAGCTGGTGAAGACGTCTGTGGCGGCGGGTGGTGGCGGCTGGGAGTTACCGCAGCCTGACGGGGCCACAGGTCAGGAAGAAAGGCTGCACACGAGGTGGGGGAAAGCAAGGACAGACAGAAACCCACAAGAACCAACCAGAACTCATGAGGACAAGCTGGCAGCCGTGTCTCGCACCACCTCCGATCTCAGGGATGACAGTGACTGGGCGCCCTCTGCCGCAGAGCCGCACACATGCCCTAGCGCCTCCTACGTGTTCTCACAACACCGTAGGTTTACCCGGCGTCGTCCCCATCACGGGGTCCCATACGCGCCCTCTTCCTTGTCTGTGGCCTCAGTGGGACAGTGAAGCCTGGGGGTGGGGCTTCGCCTGTCTTGTCCTTCACCGTGTCCTTTGCTCCCAGCAAAATACTTAAACACTGAGCAACTGCTCAACCAGTATTTTCCAGATGCCTGCGGATATATACATCTGCACATCAAGTGCCCATGAACCTGGGCAGCAGTGCAGCGCCTGACTGGTCCAAATGAAGGTTGCCCCGTCATCTCACTTGTGCTAATTCTTTTTTTTTCTGAGTTTTAAAAACTGTTTTCATGTTTATTTATCTTTGAGAGAGAGAGAGACAGAACGTGAGCAGGGGAGGGGTAGAGAGAGACACATACACAGAATCCAAAGCAGGCTTTAGGCTCTGAGCACAGAGCCCGACACAGGGCATGAACCCACAAACGGTGAGATCATGACCTGAGCCGAAGTCGGACGCCTAACTGACTGAGCCACCCAGGGACCCCAACGCGTGCAAATTCTAATTTGAGGGGTTGTGTGGTCACTTCCTGTTACTATCCTGGGCTGCAGTGGTACACAAGGGCAACTCTATGTAAACAGGGAGAGCTTGCCCAAAGGGTGTCCTTGACCATGCCTGTCCTTGGAAAGTGATGGCAGTGACATGGCCTGCTCCTCACACCAGAAGGCTGAATCCCACTGACATGAGCCCTGCATTGGCACCTCTCGGCAAAACAGGTACGTCACCCATTCAAGGCACAAAATAAAGGATGCCCACCATGCGAAGACGTGGGACACAGGAAAGAAAATGTCAGGCAAAATTCCATCAATACTTAGGGGCACATCGTAGTTACTTTCATCACTCATTAACAGCTGACCTTTCCAGAGCATTTATGCACCAGGCACTATACTAAACACTGTATATGCATTATTTCAGGTAACCCCTCACAATGAAATCTACAATTGCCACCACTGTAGAGATGGGGGAAATTGAGGCTTTGACTGGTTAAGTTGCTTGCCCAAGATCACAGAGCAAGTAAGGGGCAGAACCGGCATACATTTCCTCCAGAGATCCCAGTCCTTGCAGACGTCTATCCTCAGCTAGTCTCTGAGAAAACAGGAGCCTAGGTGGGCAGTTTTGGGTTTGCTTTTTCTTAAACAACAAAAGCTGTTTCCTTGCAGGAGGTACTTGAACAGTTCTGGTAACCATTGGAAATCTATTCCGGCATTAAAGTTCCAAAGCTACTGAATGCTAAATACATATACAGATACAATATATTATATCATATTAAGTGGTCAATGTAATAAACCAAGAAATCCAAGCAAACAAAAAATACTCAACAGCATTATATAAAACATCAGCTGCTTACCAAACAGGTATCAAATGGTTAGGAAACGTGACCTACTAACTAAGGTTTTAAACATACAGCCTTACCTAAAATCTCTATCTGTTCTAAATGAATAAGAATTTTCAAACATGTTGGTAATTTAAATATTTATCTCCATCTAAGCTAAATTCAGAGCCCAATATATGAACACCCTTTCAAAATAGACGTTTTAAAAGATTATGGCAAAAAAAAAAAAGGTGGGGGGGGGCTGGCTGCACACCTGGGTGGCTCAGTCGGTTAAAGTGTCTGACTTCCTCTCAGGTCACTATCTCACTGTTCCCAAGTTCAAGCCAGCCCCGCGTGGGTATCTGTGCTGACAGCTCTGAGCCTGGAGCCTGCTTCAGATTCTGTGTCTCCCTCTCTCTCTCTCTGCCAAACCCCCACTCTCATTCTGTCTCTCTCTTTCTTGGAAAAATAAACAAACATTTAAAAAATTATGCCAATATATGGACACCCTTTTACATACTTACCAATATTATAGATACAATTGATTTAAATTAATTTCACATGTATTTTTGACAGCGTGCTGGGAGTTGACTTATAAAAATGGGTAAGACCAGGTCTGTACCTTCACAGGGATTCCAGAGAGTGCACAATGCAGAAACCTCTGCAAATAACTGCAGAATGAGACAAATGAGGTCATCCAAGTCCTATGAAAGGGAAGAAAGGAAATGGAAATTTTATTTAGGGCGTGCACTTATTAAAGTAATAGAAACCCCCCAAAAAGTTTTCTTTCCATTTTTATTAAACTTACTTATTAATTTTTTCCTGTCTTATCTAATTTCTTTCACATCCCGAGTTCCTTTAATAGAGAACTATCCCAAAATAAATTTTCTTCTCAGGGGCACAGAATCTACACTCCATTATATACCCTACTCTGGCCCTCACTGAATGTTACCACTTTTCATTCTAAAATACAAAGTAATACACAACATACAATTTTGACACATAAAATGCCTTTGGAACTTGAAGGTATATAAAGGGTTACATTCATGCCAAAAGAAGACAGGCTTCAGATTTTTACACTGAAATTTTAGACTTAGAAATATTTGATTGGTAATTTTATGTTTCTATAAGTACATGGAAAATGGACTTTTAAGTAAGTACTCAATCTCCTACATCCAACATGGGACTCGAACTCTATGGCCCCAAGATCAAGAGTCACATGCTTCACCGACAGAACCAGCTAAGGCAACCGCAGAAAATCATCTTTTTTTTAAATAATTGTAGATTTGGGAAATTTTCACATAAGCTTTCCCAGACCCATGCTTCCCCTAATAAAAATGTATTCTCTCAGCTGACTCTTCAAGGTATCTTGACTACGCCCTGCCCCTCTACAAATAATGACTATCTGCTACTATTCGAAAGTCTAAATAAATCAGCACATGCTTGAGAATATCTTACTGGAAAGATGTTGCCTGTCACCACCAGATCCCAAATGTCAAATTCTTCAAGACAAACAGTCCAGTTACTGCAACAACAAAAATGTAGTACAACAAGGAAAACCTCACCGACACAGAAGAGATGGTAGCAAACACTACTATGCCCCTTGCTTGTATCCTAATTTGTATCCTTGTTTGTACCCTAATTAGTGTGTAACCAACCAACTAAACAAAAAGTTTTGAGACAATTCAGATGTTGATGCTATTGAGTTCCTCAGGTGTACTAATGGTATTGTGGTTACACTGAGGCCATTCCTTTCTTTTAGAGAAATGTTCAAAAATATTTGTGGGTGAAATGAGAGGATACCTGGGATTTGATTCAAAATAACCCAGTAGCTGGGTGCCTGGGTGGCTCAGTTGGTTAAGCGTCCAGCTTCGGCTCAGGTCATGATCTCAGAGTTTGTGGGTTCGAGCCCCGCGTCAGGCTCTGTGCTGACAGCTCAGAACCTGGAGCCTGTCTTCGGATTCTGTGTCTCCCTCTCTCTCTGTCCCACTCCTGCTCACGCTCTCTCTCTCAAAATAAATAAACCATAAAAACATTTAAAAAAATAAAAATAACCCAGTGGGAAGAGGACTGTGAGAGGGTTCAGGAGGAAATAAAGTTGGTCTGGTGAAGGGGTACATAAAGGTTAATTACACTAATCTCTTTCACTTTGTGTACATTTGGAAGTTTCCATTGTATATATTTCAAAAAGACGTAAAATTTAAGAGAAAAATGGACATTGCTTAAAATATGGCACAATGTCTCTTACACAAGAGATACCTCAGATAGCACAATATTAATTTTAACTGTCATGTTAATTTTAAGAACTATTGGTCATAAATATGGCTTTAAATACAGGTATAGCTATACATAGAAAATTACACTATCTGGAAAAAAAAGAAATGCCTTACTTTAACTTAATCTCATTGTTCTTTTTGCCTGTGTTTAGGAATAGAAACTGCTTCCCTAGCTGAATAAACCACAACTATCCCCAAATGTTCTTAATTACTGATTTCAATAAACACACACCTGCTCCTAAGAACAAGAAATGAAGTTTATATCCAGTTATTTCTTTTATAAGCATCCATTTTGACATATAAACCTTGATTGTGTTAAAGTAGTTGAAAGAATTGAATTTCACACTGGATTCTCTGGTTTCTTTTTCCGTTTTTTTTTTTTTACGGGGGGAGGGGGAGGGTGGCAAATGTTGGTATTATTAGCTTATTAGCTATCACCTATTTAAGTTCTTTGAACCAAGCGGTGTGTATGGAATCAATGAATAATTACAACACTTTTAAATAGTTTCAGCGCTGATACGAAAAAACAGCCACTAAGACTAAACCATTTTTGTCGAAATTACAGGTGGGTGGCATTCGCAGAGGATTACCTTTGGGGAGGAATCAGATGTGCAGGCGGGAACAGGCTCTGAACACTCTTCTACATGCTGGGGCGGGGGGGGGGGGCGGATGAGAGCCGAGTCCCCTCACGCTTTCCCTGAAATGCGGTGACGCAGCTGTGACCTGGGGCGAAATCTCCAAAAATGAAATCCCCCTGACCTCGCTCCAGCCCCCTCAGGTCTTAGGGCCCTTTGGCTCTGACTTCATTTTTCGTAGTTCCTGCTGTTTCTCCAGATTTTGTGCCCTGGGTGCGTCTAAGCCACAGGAAAGGAGCAGAGCGCCTGGTTTAGACAGACTGGAGACTGGGGCGAGTCATTAGCTACGTCCCCATGAATACTTGGAAACACTGTGGACACCCCAAGTACGCACGGGCGGGGCGCGGGGCGCGCTGGCCGCCGCAGGACACACCTGGCTTGCGGTGCTCAGCCACCGCAGTCCCGGGTCGCCGGACGCCCTCCTTCCCTGCAGGGGCCCCCACCTCCGCTCCCAGGCCAGGGGGCCCCCACCTCCGCTCCCAGGCCAAGGGGACCCCACCTCCGCTCCCAGGCCAAGGGGACCCCACCTCCACTCCCAGGCCAGGGGGCCGGGGCTTTCTGCCCCGAGGGTGAGCTGAGGGCTGGCCCCGGCGCAGCCCAGCGTCCCCACCCCTCCCCAGCCTCTCTGCAGGCAGGTGCCGCCCAGCATCCCGGCCACCCCACAACCCTTTTGCGCGCCGTACCGATCCAGGGCGCGGGGGCGCGGGGCGCGAACTGGAGCGCAGGGGCAAGATTCCCGAAACGTGGGCTGGCGGGGCAGCCGCGATCCTCCCACCTCCAGCGCCGAGGGCGGGCGGCTGGTGGGGGCGGCGGCTGCGGGCCCGCAGGCGGACCGGGGGTCGCAGTACCGCCGGCATCTACGTCCAGGGGTGCCTGGGTTTGGGGGTTCACCAGCAGAAGGAGGACGAAAGCCCACCTGGGGAGGAAAAGCCCACTCTCGGGACTCCTCTGCCTGCTCGCCGGCCGTCTGGGGTCGAGCCGAAGAGTAACACGTGGATCCGGGCGGGGCCAGGTGCCCGCGGCCGTGACCTTCCCACCGCTCCGCCCACGCGCTTCGCGGGAGCGCAGGCTTCGGGCGGCCGGGCCCCGGGGGCAGAAGTGCGCTTCCTGGCACGCCGGGCCTGGGGCTGGGAGCCGGGAGGGGGGGATGGGGAGCCGTCCGCCCCTTTTAGGCCCTGGTCCCCGGGATCTATTCGAGGCCTAAGCAGGAGAGGGTCTCGGCCTCCACAGGGTTAGTGGTTCAGAAACCAAATAGGGCCCGGTGCCATCCCCGAAGAGCCTTGGGGCGCGTTTCTCGATTTCACCACGTCACCAACTTCTTGCCTGTGTAACTGGGACTCAGCGCGTCTTTGGCACCGGGTGCTGGGAGGGTTCAAGGGGACCCCCGTGCCTGGCAGGCAGGGAGCAGGGGTTAACGGTTGGCGGCTATCCTTACTGTTACTAGTTATTATCAGCCGGTGGGACCCGAGGGAGAGTCGCTTCCCCGGCTTCCCTCCAGCCGTCGCCGCAGCCTCTCTACGCCTCCCAGGTCCGCAGAGGCCGCTTCGCCAGCCGCTCTGGAAGCCTCGAGTCGGCCTGGCCTCAAGAAGACGAGCCCGAAGGCCCAAGGCGACCCCGCAACTCTGAAGAGCTGTGCCTTGCGCAGCACGCAGGGTCCCCAGCAGACCCGCGCAGTGGCAGTGACGGCAGCGGGTTCCCCCAGATGCCCCTGCACAGACCCCCGCGGCGCCCCGCCCGCAGCGAGGGCGCGTCCTCAGCTCTAGGGAGCGGGGTGCCGGCGGGTCACCCCGCGGGCCCCACGGAAGGCCCCACCGGGGCGCGCGCGCGCTGCGCTTCCCACCAGGCGGACACGCTCAACTGAGAAACCACGTTTAAATCACTCTTGCGCCGAATGGACGGGTTTTCTTGGAAATCCATCGTTCGATATGGTTTAGTTAGGTAAAAAGAAAAATATAAAATAAAATAAAATAAAATAAAATAAAATATAAAATAAAAAAATAAAATAAATAAAATAAAATAAATAAAATAAATAAAATAAAATAAAATAAATAAAATAAATAAAATAAAATAAAAAAATAAAAGTAGGAGCGTGGGGGCCGGCCTGGGCCGGGCTGCGACGCTCAGACACAGGTGCTCGTGACCGTGCTGGTCAGCCTCGAGGGCCGCCTCTGGGCTCGGTTCTTACCTGCTGCTCCCACGGTTTATTGACTGAATAAAAGAACGCGCGTGGGCCTGGAAACGCTTTCGCACGACGGGCAGCGGGGAGTTGGCACGGGAAGGGGAGCGTGCTTGGCGTCACACCGGCCCCCTTCATTATGGCTTGTTGACAAACACTGGTAGCCCCTGACCTGCAGAATCCGCCAAAGGGACCTCACTTGGGCCCCTGCGGGGGGTGGGACAGGACCCGGCACAACCCGAGAAGGGACGGTGGGGGCGGCGTGGGGGAGTGAAGAGGGCTTTTCGGGTCGCGCATGGGGGCCACGGGTGGTGCCCGCGGAGCGAGCGGGCGCAGGGAGAATGGAAGCCCGCGTCTAAGCGGCCCCCGCGAGCTGGGCTCCGGAACCTTCTAGAACGTCCCCGGAACCGTACTACTTGCAAGCCCGGAGGAGGTGAGGATCGCGGGCAGGACTTGCCACGAAGCTGGAAGGGATGCGGAGGAGGTGAGAAACTGGGGTAAAAGTGGGCCAACTGCACAGCTGTAAACATGCGTCTAAGGCCTCCCTGCCTCTGGGAACCAGAAAGTCACAGCTGGAACTGCCGAGTAGATGAGGGGGACGGCCTTCTCGCACGTTCTCCCGCGGCGGCAAGCGATGGGATTCTGCCCAAGCGGGAGCCCTGAGAGGGGGCGCTGCGGGGGCGCTGCGGGAACCTGCGGTCTCTGGCGGGCATTTCCTGATGCGCCAGCCCCACCCCCACCCCCGCCCCACCCGCACCCCACCCCACCCCGCCCCACCCCTAACCCCACCCTCACCCTCGCCCCCTCCCCACCCTCACCCTTTCTGGTTGCTAAGTTCTTTCAGAAATTCTTTTCGAAGCACCAAAGTTCTTTCTGTCCTAAAAAAAGGGACCGCGCGCCCCTAGAAGGCACCCATGGGGGGTGGGGGGGGGGTGGGATTAATTGTAAATTGTCCAGAGCACCAGTGCTTCACTTGATACTTCCGTTTTCCCTGGCCCTGCTTTTGAAAATTCTAAAGCTTTTTTTTTTTTAAATGCTTTTTATTTTTCCCTAGGAAATCTTGGCCACTACCTTCTGAAGTTGATCTCAAGTGGTGCCCCGCTTTATTCAGGTGAAAAATCAGCATCTTCATAAAAACGAAAAACGAATGGAACACGTGTGGACCTTACCCTCCAATTCTTTTTTCCTTCAGATTTCATTAATTCTGAATACCGTATTTTAAAACCCAGGACTTTTCCCACTGCAAATATTCGAAGTCTGAAAGCCAGTTTGGAAAACTGTTTCTGATACCTGTAACGAATACGTATTGTAACGAGTACGAATTGTAAAACTAAACCGTTTAACTGGGAGGAGAGAACTAAGCTTGAAAAGAAGTTCCATTTAGGAAGCGATTATTGAGAAGTAAATACGAAATAAGTGATACAGTGTAGAGACGTAGCATTTTATTGGGTCTATATCACTAGCTTTAATTTTAACATCTTTCTACAGAAGACGGCAATCAGACACACGTAGGAAAAATCAATGCCTCAGAATTAAAAGTCTGTATTACACATCGATTTCAGGAAGACGTAAAGAACAAGCATTTTGCACTTGACTTGGGGATAATATTTGCAATTCCTAGGGAGCGTAGGAGAAACGGGCTGTGCACTGGACACTTCTTTTCCTTTTTTTTTTTTTTTTAAATACTAGAACACAGTGCCCCCACTCACGTTCACAGTTCCTCTAGAAATGGGTAATCGAAAAAAAATCCTGGAAGCGCAAACTGGAGGCTGGAAAAGAGTGGGCGAGAGTGGAGGCCGTCGGAAGTTTACGGTCGGGCTGTGCGAACAGTATCGACTTGTCCTTTGCAAATACTCTGCGGCGCGGACGCCGCCGTTCGGTCCGGGGTGGTTCCGACGCGGGATTCCGGCGCGCGCGCTCGGCGCCCTGCAGGGCGGTCTGCGCGGGGTGGGGGGGGCGCTGCGCGGGGTGGGGGGGACTGGGGGTCGCTGCGCCGGGCTGGGGGGGGCTTGGGGGGGCGCTGCACCGGGGTGGGGTGCGGGTGGGGCGCTGCGTGGGGCGGGGCTGGGGGTGGGGTGGGTGCGGGTGGGGCGCTGCGCGGGGCGCCGTCCGCCGCCTTGGCTCCGGGGGTGTCGGCCGAGTCCGCGCCAGGACGGGGTGCGGGTGCAGGTCAGAAGGCCGGCAAGGCGCTCTCTCCGCCGGCAAGTTGGGCCACCGCCGTGGGCCCGGCGCCTCCGGCTGCGGGCGGGCCCCCCAGGCGCGCCGCGGGGGCGGGCAGGTGCGCGCCCCGCCGCTGCGGCCGCTGCTGCTCCAACACCGTCCGGGCAGCGGGCGCCACCGACACCCGCCGCGAAGGGGCAGCGGCCGCGTGCGGCACCGGGCACGACGGGCGCTGCAGCAGGCGGCAGCAGCCCCACGGGCTCGGCGGCAGACTCGGCCCGCCCCGCGCCCCTCTCAGGATGCTCTCGATGCTGAAGGGGGCGCCCCCGTCCCCGGGCCGCGCCGCCGACCCCTTGCCCGCCTCCCAGGGCTGCGAGCCCGCCCGGCCGGCCGAGGGGGCGCCGGGGGCCTTCCCGGGCGGCTGGGCGCAGGCGGGGGCGGACAGCAGCAGGTAGCGGAGGGGGTGCGGGTGCAGCAGCGCGCACGGGCGGCCCGCGGCGGCGGCGGCGGCGGCGGGGCCGGGCCCCGGGGGCGGCGGGGCCGGGCTCCCGAGCAGCCAGCTCGGGTACGGGCCGTGCGGGGCGGCGGGCGCGGCGGGGAGGGGGACGGGGCGGCGCAGGTGGGCTCCCGGGGCCGGGCGGGGGCGCTTGAAGCGCTTCCTGCGCCGGAGGAAGCTGCCGTTGTCGAACATGTCGCGGGAGGCGGGGTCCAGGCTCCAGTAGCTGCCCTTGCCCGGGTGGCCCGGCTCGCGCGGGATCCTGACGAAGCAGTCGTTGAGCGACAGGTTGTGGCGGATGCTGTTCTGCCAGGCGGGGAACCTGCGGCGGTAGTAGGGGAAGCGGCCGCTGATGAAGGCGCAGATGCCGCTGAGCGTGAGGCGCTGGCGCGGGCTCTGCAGGATGGCCATGGTGATGAGCGCGATGTACGAGTACGGGGGCTTCGCCGGCGGGGGGCCGTCCGATGCCCTGAACCTGGAGCCGAGCTCGGGGTCGGCCGGGGCGCCGCCGCCCTCGGGGAGCCCTCCGGCCCGCGCGCCCGCGCCGCGCCGCGCCGCCTGCGTCCCGGGAGGGGGCAGCTGCTCTGGCAACCGCCGGCTCTGCACCGCCTCGCCTCCTTCCTCCTCCTCCTCGCCTTCATCTTCCTCCTCTCCCAGGATGTCGACCTCACCGTCCTCGCCGTCGGGGCCCCGGAGGCTGCGCCGCGGTGTGGAGCGAAGGCGATCGGGTTTGGGCAAGTTCATGGGGGAGCAGGTCGTGCAAGACGCAGGGGCAGGGCCGGCTGCGCCGCTGCCTCCAGGCGGGGGTGGGCTGCCCGCCGGGGTTCGGAGTGTTCCCAAAAGCAGGAGCGCCTGCGGAAACCTGTAGGTTTCTCCTCGTTGCCAACACCGTCCAGCAAAGACGCACTCTACCTTTTCTCGGAGCTTCTTAGAGTCCTTGAGTGGTTGGCCGCCCCCCGCTTTATACCCCCTCCTCCCCTACCTCTGAGCGCTCCCCCACTTCCTCCGGACGCAGTCCAATGATGAGGGTTCACCGCACGTTACCCCACAGGGCAGCCTCCTCCTCCTGGCACCCACCGGCCACCCGGGAAGACGCGCTGTGAAAGCGCGTCGAAATCCGTGCAAATAGAAGAGGTAGGAAAATAGGGCACCCGATAATCTGTGGCCACGTTGATATCCGGACCTCTCCCCTGGAGGACAGAAATGGGGGAGGGCACTGAATGTCTACTGTGTAAAAGAAAGCTTAACAGTGTGTTTTCGGGTTTCATAGCGGGTTATTCACCCATTTTCATTGGTGGATTCCGTGCTCTTCCAGAATGAGGACCTGAACTATTCTTAAGCATTCTTGACTATATCCACGAGCTCAGGGGAATGTGACGGAGGGCTGCATGGTCCCTTCTACTCCCCACCCGAGCTCCCCAACTCAGGTTTTCAGAAAAGACTGCAATGTCCTGGCATTAAGTTGTGGAAGTTCAAGGTAGAAGGAAAACAAGAGCGCTAAAGAGAAGTCCCCTTGCCTCAGCGATTCTCGAAGGTCTTTGAACACTTTACCACAGGATAAAATACATTTTATGTCACTATCTTGGATAGATAGGCTTCTGTACCTAAAATGGGTTTCGTAAAACAAGTGACCACTGACATAATTTTTAAAGTGTCCACTACCAACTAAATTGGTTTTTGCCACATTCTTACGAGTATAGAGCCAGTGTGAAAAATCCTGTTGTCACAAAAATAGCCTCCCAACACCAACAGACACACCCAGTCTGAGAGTCAATCTCTCATGCATGTGCTCTCTCTCTTCTTCTTCTTTTAAAGCCAACCTTAAGCACTTTTACTATAATAAAGTTAAAACTTAAATTAGGCAGGGGCACCTGGGTGGCTCAGTCAGTATAGCATTCAACTCTTGATCTCGAGGTTGTGAGTTCAAACCCCATGCTGGGCGTGGAGCCTACTAAACAAAAAATTAGTAACAATAACAAGGCAAAGGAAGAGGTGCAGTGCCTTTCCCTAAGTCACTAGGTCGTCCTTCCCTACACCGGAGAAGAGGGACATGGCAGAGAATCTCTATTTCACTCACCTAACATCCTAAGAAGTAGCGATTTTTAGACTGGCTTCATTTAAATTTTATGTTCAGAGACCAGAGTAGCAGTCCAGTGGACTCTAACTTCACGTGTGTTATATAAATAAGGATCTTACGGTGAAGTACTGAGCGACTGGCTATTCATAACTTAATTCCCACCTACTTGGGGAAAAGAATCTGAGGAGGCATCTACTAAAAATGCAGTATAAACCTATTGTGCCACTGATGGCCCCCCAGGAAGGCTACCATTAGCATTTGTAAGTGATAATGAATTTCCAGCCAGAAATCAGAAGCCACAGCTAAAAGAGCAAAATATAACAAAAAAGTAGTTTAAAGTAGCTGGTCCCTTCAGGATAAAATTCTGAAAAGTGCTTCTCTGAAGGATGCTAAAAGCTTATGCTCTACTCCTGAGATTCTCGCGCCCTCAGTCACACGTAGCTTGAAGAACGAGTGACAGTTTAGGAGCATAAGGGATTTGTGTTTGAATCCCAGGTTCACCAATTATTACTTGGGGATGACTAAACTAAGCCGGGGGGGGGGGGGGGGGGGAGGGGGTGACAGGTGTCTTATTCAACCTCAGACTCCCAGCTGCCTCCCATCAACCCCCCGCAGGTGAGGCACATTTCTGCCAATCCCTTACCTGGGAAGGGAGTATTGTTAGTTTTCCTAAAGTCAACTTGTATGGGGATTTGGGCTATTTAAAAATGAAAAGAGAAAAATAAAGGCAAAAACAAAAAGAACCTCCAATGATGGAGGGGGCAACGGAGACAAATGAAAGTCTCCTAAGTCTCCTGTGGTGAAAGCAGGGGCAATTCCAGCGAGCAGCATTAGATTACAATCCAGAGGACAAAATAAATATTCTTGTGTGCATCCATACTGATAAAAACTAAATGACTGAGTAAATTAATAAATGGGAGGAAAGAGGGGTGCTTGGCTGGCTCAGTCGGTAGAGCACGCAAATCTTAAACCCAGGGTCCTGACTTCAAGCTCCATACTGGGCGGAGAGCTTGCTTAAAAAAAAAAAAAAATCCAAATAATTAAATGGGGGAAAAGAATTCCTCACTCTCTTACCAGAGGCAGTTCAGAGTGGTTTCCTCCTAAAGGAATCCTTCCAAATATATCTTCCAAAATCCTTCCAAAAATATCTTCCTTCCAAAGATCCTTACAAGTGGAGAAATGTCACAAACACTTCAGTCAGGTCATCAGGTGACCAATGTTTGTATCAACAGTCATAAACCCTTTGACAGTATATCCCCCTAATATGATGTGATAAAAATAGCGCTCTGTGATCGGCTCCCCGGAGGCCCGCGTAATTCAGAGAAAAACAAATTTCCATAGAGAAGCATCTTATGTACCTGATACAACCATCCTCAAAACTATCAACATCACCAAAACAGTGACAGTCTGAGCCCAGAGGAGTCTACGAAGACAGGACAACTAACTGCATCTTGGACGGCATCCTGGAACAGAAAAATGTCTGACGGCATCCTGGAACAGAAAAACGACAGACTATCTGAATAAACAATGGACTTTAGTTAATAATAATGTTATCAGTCCACTAACTGTAACAAACGTGCCATGGGGGGGCGGGAGGGATATGGGAACTTGTACCACCTGTACTTTTATCTTGTACCATCTGTTCAATTTTCCTGTAAATCTAAAACTGTTCAGAAAGTTACATTCTATTAGTTTAAAAACTTAAACATGGGAAAAAGGCCTACTAGCCAAAAAGGAGAAACTCAAATGTCTATCAGATGATGAATGGATAAACAAAATGTGGTGTATAGACTTTTATTCAGCGATAAAAAGAAACAAAGTGTTGGTACATGCTATACCATGGATGGAGCTGGGCAGCGTCATGGTAAGTGAAAGGAGTCTGAATGGGCCACTTACAGGAAGGAACAGGAAGTAGAGGCCACTGGGGGCAACAGGCAGGGGAGATGGGGAACGGGGAGTGCCGCCAATCGGTAGTTTGTTTGGGGGAGTAAGGAGAACGTTCTGGACTTAGATACGGTGGATTTCCCAGAGCTATGAATTGTACACTTTAAAAGGGTAAAGTTTAGGGGCGCCTGGGTGGCTCAGTCGGTTAACGACGCTTTTAGCTCAGGTCATGATCTCACGGTCCATGAGTTCGAGCTCCACGCTGGGCTCTGTGCGGACAGCTCAGAGCCCGGAGCCTGCTTTGGATTCTGTCTCCCCCTCTGCCCCTCCCCTGCTTGTACTCTGTCTCTTTCTCAAAAAATAAACGTTGAAAAAAATTTTTCAAGGGTAAAGTTTATTGTATGTGAACAATTCTATCTAAATAAAGTTGTTACACAAAATATGCGCATCTAAAAACAGTTTTTATCAATGAAAAAGCAGTGCTATGCAAGACTGCTTTCTGCCAAGTCCCTCTGGAAAAAAAGAAACTCAGGGTCCCATCCCATCAGTCTTTAGTGTTGCCTGATTGAATGAGAAGCCTCTGTAGCTCCTGCAGTGTTTGTTTATGGTGAATTCACACGCAGCCCTGTGAACGGTGGGCGCTTTGTCATACTTGGTGATTACTTCTCTCAATAACAAACAGGTTTTTTTTTTCTGAACAAACCCATCAGAAGCTCACGAAATCCTGTCCTAGTATGAAAAACCAAACTTTCTAACCTAATCTACAAAAAGGATGATGATGCCTGTTTTTTTCTCCATTCCACTCTGAAAATTAAAGACTGGGTGGCCCAGTCAGGTAAGCATCTGCTCTTGATTTCAGCTCTGGTCATGATCTCAGTTGTGAGGTTGAGCCCCAGAGTGAGCTGCCATTCCTACCCAGAGCAGCAGAGGTTACGGCGGGTTAAATAGGTTTGGAAAAATGGGTCTCCTCATGTCCTACTGTATGAGGTAGAAACTTCCAGCCATTTGGGAGGGCAGTTGATGAGCATCTATTAAGAATTTCACACGTGCACATCCCAGAAGCTAGTGTTTCCACACACACGCATCTATTCTAGACAAACATCCTTACGTAAGAACAAAGAGGCACGTTGCACAATGATGTTCACTAAAGCACCGTTTGCAGCTTCAGGAACGGTTAAGGGCTGGTTCCTCTGCCACAGGGATCCACCACAAACCACGACGCTCCTCCAGCCTAAAAGCCTTCAGCCGGTTGCCAGGGCACTCGGAATAGACCAGATGCTCTGCTCTGTCCCGCCAGGAGCAGCGAGGCAGCCCCAGCTCCCAACTCCACCCTACACCCTGGCTTGCCACCCTCTGCCACCCTCACCTCCCGCCTGGTCTTGCACCGTGCTGTGGGGGCTCACACCTGAAAGGCGGCTCCGCTAGGGGGTCCATCTGCATGGAACCTTCATCCTAACTCCCTGTGCACCACGCCTTTTAACTCCACCCGCAGCTTAAACCCAAGTCTCCTCAGGGAGGCTTTCCAGGACCACCCAGTCCCATTATCCGCCTTACTTTCCTCTTACTTTCTAAGTCCCTCCACCTAAATGAAAACACTGTGAGAACGTGGCCCTTATCTGTCATGTGCAGTTGCAGCCCAGCACTCAAACCTGGGCAAAGTGGAAGCCCTCAATAAGTGGTTTTTTAAACAAATGTGTTCTATGCTACACTATGAATTTCCATGAAGCAATTCGAGAATAAGACGTAGTCATATGCACTGTCAAGGGAAAAGGTCTAAGACTACCAGTTGAGTTTGTTAAAAAGCCAAGTGCATTATAATATATAAAGAATGAATGTTTTATTTAAAATACATACATTAAGAGGCGCCTGGGGGGCTCAGTAGGTTAAGCATCAGACTTCGGCTCAGGTCATGATCTCACAACAGTTTGTGGGTTCAGGCCCCACGTCGGGCTCTGTGCTGACAGCTCAGAGCCTGGAGCCTGCTTAGGATTCTGTGTCTTCCTGTCTCTCTGCCCCTCCCCCGCTTGCACTGTCTCTTATCAAAAACATTTTTTAAAAAATTAAATAAGTAAGATATTTACATTATGAAAATAAACTCCTTCCTTTAGGATATTTACAGCAAGGTCTCACGTCTCCAGAAGTAGCAGCTTACACTATGGCTCTAATCACTGAAAAAAATCATTCACTTTGGACCACAACGTAAGCCGTGTGCGTAAGTGAAAAGAAACATGTAAAAGGGCAGACACGAAGCTGACAGCACTGCTCCCCCCTAAGGCGTGTCAGCGACTGAAGGAGGAAGGTCAGGGGACACTGAGTCACCTCTGACATTTGCATTTTTTACGACACCAATGTATTCAGTCAATACTTACGTAATAAAAAAATATTTAAATGTTAATACATTTTAAAGAAAAAATATTTAGGAGTTTGATAAATACAGATTTTTAAGAGTACAGATTAACAGTAGTTCAAACATTTCTCCCACAGCAGGACAATTAACTGTAAGCGCTCTCTCCTGGCTGTAAACAAATGACTCTAGATACTTATTATTTGCTAGAGAACATTACGAACTATTATTGTGGCCACATTATTCAGAAAACACATCAAATTTTACATAGTTGGGAAAAAGAAAGCATGTATGCAGCCTCCACCAGGTGCGCCGCAAACCTATGCAATCCTCACAACCCTGAATGCCTGAAATGAGGCCACCCCCTTTATAAACAAGGACACCAATCCCGAAAGTACTCAGCCCAATAAAAAAGGACACCGATCTCGGCACTGATCTCGGAGAAAGCACTTGCCCAAGACTGCGGGGCCAAGCAGCAGCAGAACTGGAAATAAAGCCCAGACTGGACCCCAAACTCAGCTGCGTTTCTCCTGGGCCATATGCTGCCACAAACTAAGACAAACTGTCTCACCACGAATTTCAGAGACTGGACTCAGGAGGTACACAGAGGAATGTAGAGGGTTATATTAAAAAGGCACAGAATGCAGGGGAAATGACAGACAGATGATCTGACCAGCTAGCCTGCCTCTGACCGCTGGAACCATTCAAGACACAGAGATGTAACCGTTTCACTGAAAATTCTGGAAAAAAAAATTTTCCAAAAAAACATTCTGACAGCCTTCTGATACTTAATCATTAGTTTGGGAAAGCTCTTTTTAAAATGCCATCTAATGCTTTTCTCCTACAGTCTGTACAGTTATGCTGACCTGGGCGTTAATAGAAAGAGCGGGTAAGTAAGCCGCTGTGTACTTACCCCCATCCACTGATAGAAAGATGGTTAAACTGTCATAAGGTATCCGTAGTTCCCTCTGAAGTTTTGTACCTCGTCACTTTCTAGCTTACATTGAAAATTAAAGAAGTTCAAAAAAACCAAGATGAATTTAATACCGGCAGGAAAACCTACTTAACATTGAAAGCTCTGAAATTGGAATCGTATGAATATGTTACAGAGTAAAGGGCTTGAGTGCCATCCCTCCACCCGTGAGGCTTGGAACTGAGAACGAGAGATGCAGCCCGTTGTTTGACTCCCATTTCTGCCACTCATAAGTCTCCAAGACTTTTATTTCATTCAATAAAAATGGTGACGTTATTTTTTAAATTTTGTTAATAATGATATAATATCTATGCAAGCAGCTGCAGTTCTTTGTTCAAAGCTGACGTTAGGTGTTATCATTAGGATTAGAAATCATTTCCATGGGTGGAAAACTGAGCATATGTAAATTCCAAAGCCAATTCTGACAGATGCTTCAATGAAACATCTATTTAAAAAAAACAAAAGCAGATGTGCCTGGGTGGCTGAGCTGGTGAGCTGGTGAAGCATCCGGCTCTTGGTTTCAGGTCATGATCTCACGGTTTGTGAGTTTGAGCCCCATGCTGTCAGTGCAGATTCTCCTCGGGATTCTCTCTCTCCCTGTCTCCCTGCCCCTCCCCTGCATGCTCTCTCTTTCAAAAATAAACAAACATTAAAAAAGAAAAAAACCACTTCAGAGGGTATTATACTTTATGGTGTGAATGTCAAATGTTTTACAGTACTTATTTACTAAATTTTACGTGTTCCATAAAATAAACTCTGAAGTACCCTGGAATTAATAGCAGAAATAATGCAAACAACAGATGCCTGAAATATAAGTAGTAGGAAACTTATTCCCGATTTACCACCCCAGTCCCTTTGATTAGAGCTGCTTCTAGTCTATGGACGAACTTGATCTTCTTTGAAGTGTGCTGTCCACCGCTTTTCTGTTTCAGTCACAGTGGCTATAAATAGTTGTTTAAGGATTTCCTTATCTAAATTCCTGCCTGCAGACAGAAAAAAATATGGTGATCATATTATGCTTATTAAAATGACAGCTTACCTATCAATTCCAAATCATTAAAGGCTTGATAATCCTCAGAAATTTACAAAAACAAAGTAATTAGTGATCCTTTCAACTTTCTATTCTAGTTAGGTCCCTTAGAACCAAACTGGCCTTTCGATTAATTACTTTTCTAAAATTGTTTGAAGAAAAGAGTAAAAGGCCTAACAAGTTCTTATGAAGGTTATCACATCATGAAGACAAATACATGAACTAATCACAGGGGTTCAGACGATTAATACTGCTTAAGTTAAGCATATTATGTCACTTTCAAATATATATTTTACTCTGCTTAAAAACGGACCCGTTTCACTTACCGATAAGAACCAATCGATTGGTTCTCTCTGTGTCATCGCTCCAGCTCAGCGGGGTCTCCTCCAGGTCATAGAGCTCATGGATGCCTTGGACAATCACCTGTTTTAGTTTGTCTTTGATCGACACCAGCCCCTGCTCAGAGGAGAACGATCAATCAGCCTCATTCAAGTTTACAGCAGAGAGTGTTAATGGATTATTCCTATTCTACTTTAAATATAAACCCAGAAAGACGCTGTTAAAATTACTTATATCTAGTTATTTGTGCCTTGTAGAAATAGTTTCTTTTTTTTAAGTTTTTTTTTTTTAACGTTTTAATTATTTCTGAGAGACAGAAAGACAGCATGAGCAGGGTAGGGTCAGAGAGAGAGGGAGACACAGAATCCGAAGCAGGCTCCAGACTCTGAGCTGTCAGCACAGAGCCCGACGCGGGGCTCAAACCCACAAACCGTGAGATCATGACCTGAGCTGAAGTTGGACCCTTAGCTGACTGAGCCACCAAGGCGCCCCTAGAAATAGTTTCTTAAAGCCTCTGATTTTTAAATTTAAATTTCAAGCATTTGTGCACCAGGTTGTTTTTTTTTTTTTTTAAATAGTCCCTTTTTGTGATGATAAAATTAATACATGTATTAAGATGCCCTTTCAGTGTTGTAACAAGAAGTTAAAACAACCAAATGATAAAACATGCATCGAATTCTACTGATTTTTCTACTTTTAAGGATTTTATCTTGTTTCACAGTTTTAGTGGGAACATTTGAGGAGTTAAAAGATTTGGGGTAATTTTTGAATGGACTGCAATAAATGGAGCAGATAATGATGAAATAAATGAAAAAATATACATCTATCTTGATAAATTTCATTTTATATTGACTCACAGAAATAAGAAACAAATTATCTGATAAAGAGGCTCCTCTGGGGATGAAACAATTTCTCTGAAATGATATTTGTTACACTTGTTTGTTATTAAATTAATACACATGTCGCAAAACAGTAAGAGGCAAACCACTCGTGTCATTCCCACCACATAACTTTGGTGTGGTTTTGTGTACTTGTGTATTTTATGTGTATATTCTTCCTGGTCTCCTTTGCCCAGTTTTGTTTTCTCCTTTGTAAACCTGAATTTTAACATGTGATCGCTCCTGGGAAAGAAGTGTCTACATCAGTTCGGTGTTGCGTGCAGAAGGGCTCCGAAGCGATGGCCGTCCCCAGAGGGGACACGTGGAACACGCTGGCGCCGGCGCACGAGTCCCCGCGGCAGGGAGTTGGGGCAAGTCTGTGAAGTGAGACTCGCAGTGCTGTTGTGACAGAGCAAGGACAAGCAAAGAACCACAGCAGACGGAGGGCGCGCGGAAAAACCGTCCTGCACCCAGAGACGAAAGCCAGGCCCCAGGCCGGGATGGCGCGGGACCAGGCGCGGTCACAGCGGAGGCATCGGTGTAGGAACCGCCCCTCCGCCCCCAGCAGCAAGGACAGAAGTGCTCACAGGCTGAGACACAGTCGGCCAGTGTGCTCCCTGGAAGGACACACTCCGGGGTTACAGCAGCAGCAGCAGCAGGCGGAGTCCCTCTGGGTGGGGACTCGGCGGGAACAGACTGAGGGTCATGGTGGCTCTGAGGCCAATCCCAGGCAGAGTCAGCACAGAAGGTGAGGGCATCTGAACCAAATGGTTTGGTTTTTTGTTGTTTTTTTTTTAAATTTGTTTTAACATTTATTTATTTTTGAGAGAGAGAGGGAGACAACGTGAGCAGGGGAGGGGCAGAGAGAGAGACACAGAATCCGAAGCAGGCTCCAGGCTCTGAGCTGTCAGCACAGAGCCCGACGTGGGGCTCGAACCCATGAACCATGAGATCATGACCTGAGCCAAAGTCAGTCGCTTAACTGACTGAGCCCCCCAGGCACCTCCTGAATGGTTTCTTGATAGTCTCAGCCTTCGTCATTCTAGTGACCTCAGGAAGTCAGCTGCTAACAGGAAAATCTAGTCACTAACAGTAAGTAGTAAGATAGAACCTTGTGGAAACACAGGAGTAGACCAATGACTGCTGAGTGGCTAGGCACACGACGTAGCACACTGCCCCCTGGAAAAAAACACCTTCCAGGACATAAATCCCCCAACGCCAAGTAACACGGATGGGTTTCAAAACACACAGGAGCCTTCTCCTGGCTTTCCGCCTTCCATAACGGTTTACAGCACGACTGCGGAGTGTCCGCTACGGGCGCCAAGCGACACGGGTTTGGCCGCAGCAAACCTCTAATGTTACCTCCCTGTGAGCGAAGCGGTCTTGGAAAATTAAACACGAGACGGTCGGTTTTCCCGAAGGAACCAAGCTGAGCACCGAGGACAGGAGAGCCGGCGAGCCCGGCGCGTCAGCAAGCCCACTGCTCAGAGCGCTGCGGGGGGAGGGCGGGGGGCACGTGGAAGCACAGGGCTGTGTTAGCTGCCACGCGAACGCAGCTCTGCACATCAGTCCCGCTCTGTGCGGTGACTGCCAAAGCTGCTTTCCAGCAATGGAAATATGGAAAAGTGAAAACAGACCGTATTATTTGTACTAAAACCAGTGCTTCTGTTTAAAACCAAATATGGTATTATGGAACAGCCACGAAAGGAAAGGGTAAGCGTGAAAAGTGTACACCGTACCTTTAACCGTATGACCTCCATGCAGTCGCCGTCCTGGTTTCTCACATTCTTCTCCCACAGAAGATTCTGGACCAAGGGACATATTTCAATAAGACCAAACATTGCTCCCAGCACAGCCAAGTAACAGAACAGGTGGCAAGTCATCATCAGTTACATATCGCACTCACCTGAATAAACACATTCAGACTTTCTTCCTTTGCATTTCCGGGTACTTCGAATGTCACCGTAAGAATGCTCTATAAATCAAGAGATTATCAATAATGATTTTTTTATAGTAATGTCAGTCTATTTTTAAAAACCACAAGTTTTAAGACAGTACATTTTTAAAAACCACAAGTTTTAAGACACAAAGTACATTTATGTTTTAAGACATTAAGTACATTAAGTTTTAAGATAAAAACACATTCATGAAAATTTATTTTGCCTAATAACTATATTACGTGTATCTTTTTCACTGTCTGGCTGAGTTCTGAGAGCAGCAATTCCATTTTCTGTATTTTGCCAGTGACCGGTGGTTCAGTACTCGTGAATACATTCTTTCCAGGACTCTCAGCACTAAGAGGGAAGGTGATAAATACAGTGTATCGACTATGTTCTGAGCCAGGTACTCTGCCTGGGTCCCTTCATTTCATCTTTCATTTACTTGTGACAAGAGTCCTGTGGAATAAAGAGAACTGTCATTTTCTAAATTGGGGAAAATGAGGCTCAGAAAAAGTAAACTACTTAGGTCCAGGAGTAAAACTCAAAAGTGAACTTTTGTTCTCCGGGAACAATACAAAGGAAAAATTCAGTTTAGTTCTGACCAAGCATATGGCGAAGGGAGAGGAGCACCTGGACGTGAGAATGACAGTGTCATGTCACCTTTGTTTGTAGAAGGTTGACTTCATTTAGATTGTTAACTCTTAGATTTACTTTTCTTCCTGCTCTTGATAAATCTCTCACTGTCCACTCTAAGGAACCTGAACCTTAAGATTTCCTGCAGCTGGTCACATAATTCACGTCCAAGGCTCCATGTGCTACTGTAACCCAACATTTCAACTTCATGATGAAAATACATGGGGGCCAAGCATAACATGATGAAAACACAAACCCCACCTTGGAGAATTAGGATGACACGCTCACGCCAGGCTTCAAATCAGGAAGAAAAAACACACTGAAGCACAGCTTTCTATAATTTCCTACAACTGCGTATCTTAACAGCAATTTTGTTCACCAATAGAAAATCACTAAGGCTTACAGTAGTAAATATGAAAAGACCAATTGTTTTTTATACAAACATAGAGAATAGCTAAAGGTGAGTACTGAAGACCAATCAATCAAAGGACAAAATACACGGACATTTAGTCTCCACTGCTGTTAGTAATATGAAAAACAGAAAGCACTTACTTGCTAAATAGGAGACATGAAAGGCAACTAAAATTGACTTTAAAATGTCAGATTTTTACAAGCGCATGGGTGGCTCAGTAAGTTAAGTATCTGACTCTTAAGTTTGGCTCCGGTCAGGAACTCACGGTTCATGAGATTAAGCCCCATTTCAGGATCTACGCGGGGGGAGCCTGCTTGGGATTCTCTCTCTAACTCTTTCTCTGCCCCTCCTTTGCTCATTCTCTCTCTCTCTCTCAAAATAAGTAAATTAACATTAAACATTTTTTAAAAGAAGACTAAAAAAGCAACCACTAGGGGCGCCTGGGTGGCTCAGTCGGTTGAGCATCCGACTTCGGCTCAGGTCATGATCTCATGGTTCACACGTTCGAGCCCCATGTTGGGCTCTGTGCTGACAGCTAGGTCAGAGCCTGGAGCCTGCTTCAGATTCTGTTCTCCCTCTCTCTGACCCTCCCGTGTTCATGCCGTCTCTTTCTCTCAGAAATAAATAAAACATTTAAAAAAAAATTTTTTTTTTTTTTTTTATTTCTAGGAGAGAGAGAGAGAGACAGCGTGAGCAGGGGAGGGTCAGAGAGAGAGGGAGACACAGACTCTGAAATAGGCTCCAGGCTCTGAGCTGGCAGTCAGCACAGAGCCCGACGTGGGGCTCGAACCCACGAACCGTGAGATCATGACCCAAGTGAAAGTCGGACGCTTAACCAACTAAGCCACTCAGGTGCCCTTAAAAAAATTTTTTAAAGGATGCTAAATGAAACATAATTTGTCATTTTCAAAGGACAGTAGCAATTCAACCTTCAAAACTGCTTAAAATGTATTTTATTCAAGTTGGAGAACTTGGCTTTTAATATTGGAAAGGTCTCAACATAAAACTCAGTATTGCTTTATTCTTAAAGAACTTCTACTGGGAATGGCTGTTGCTTTTGGCAGGTTAGAAATAAGAAAATCTTTTTAAGGGGTACAATTAACTCCAGTATGAGATAAATAGGATTTTGCAAATTAAGACAATGTATAGGGGAGCTCAAGGACAGAGATACACACTGCAGAACTAGATGTTTTCCTGTACCAGTACACTCTTCTCACGGCGGGCAGACCGTAAAGGAGATGAAATCCGTAAATTCCCAGTGCAGAAGCTGAGGGTCACAACTTGTCCCAAATTTAATTGGCTCTACTAGTAAACTATGCACGGACTGCCACTGCTGTTTGGCGTTTCTCACCTTCCCACCCTCCAACCCCGGGGGGCCTCCTGACAGGGAGCAAACGAGGGGCCGTGCAGATAGAGTTGCATCAAAGGGGATTCAGGGACTCAACCTGAATTAACACCTCCTAAGTCCTAGGTATTACCTGCTTCAGACTTTTTCCCAGTTTTTGTTTCAGATCTGAAATTAACTCTCCTTTTCCCAGACCCCAGAAGCAGAAAACTGAAGCAACAGGTCCCTCCAGTCAGTCAAGGCCTGTTTCCCATGACTTCTCCTGTCTTACTGCCCCAGCGCCAGGCAGGCAGGCTGGTCGGGCAGGTCTACCTGTGATTCTGCCCTGGATTCACCCCATTTCCATGCCCCCTGCCACCAGCACAATCCAGGCCCTCGTCACAGGGGTCTCCCTGCTTGGTCTCCCGTCCTCAGCTCGGTCCGGCTTCCCTGTCCCTGCCCCACAGCCGGGCAGCGGTTCCGTGTGGCCCGCCCATCACAGCCCGGCTCCGTGGCCCAGGGCTCCAGCAGGAAGCGGCCACCCGCCACCGGGCCTGTGCGCTAGAGCCCCCTCCTCCTCCCCACCGGGCCTGTGCGCTAGAGCCCCCTCCTCCTCCCCACCGGGCCTGTGCGCTAGAGCCCCCTCCCCACCCCCACCGGGCCTGTGCGCTAGAGCCCCCTCCCCACCCCCACCGGGCCTGTGCCCTAGGGCCCCCCTCCCCACCCGGCCTGTGCCCTAGAGCCCCCCTCTCCTAGAGCAGGCTCGCCTTCCCACTGGTAGAACCTGGCTTGCTCTTTCCCTTACTTCTTCCGGTCCAACAAAACCTTCTACTTTCTGATGTCTTACTCAGAGCAGCAGGTGCGTCTTTGCAAGGAGTGTTCCTAACTGGAAAGACGCACAAGGGAATTCTCTTAATGATCATGGAAATTGTCTGTATTTGTATCTAAGGGGGAATTACAGAGAGATGTGCTCCTGTGTGCACATGGGCCGGCACATGGGCACAAATATATGCAAAGACAGACTGACTTGAACGCTAAAAGCTTACATGCTTTGCTGTACATTAAAATAAAGAGCCCGTCCTTCACAAAGCCTCAGACCCGCTGAACCACGAGAGCACCGCCCCCCGAACCCCACTGCCCTCTGTCTGCAGTACTCCCATCTGCCGCCCTCTGTTTACAGGGCTGACGCAGGGAAGTGCGCCGAGTCTCCCGTTGAGCTCTGAAGCCGCCCTTCTCACTGGCGAGGCGGCTTGCTGTCAGGAGCTGCCTTCCGCACCCAGCAAGGGCGACGCGTGCCCGCGGTTTCCCTGCACTCTTCCACGTGGCCACATGTTTGAAATTTCCTGTTTAGAAAATACTCCAGCAAAAGAAAGGCTGGGAAGACTGAGGACATAACTTCAGCAAAATGCTGACGGCCAGGGCAACCGGGTCAGGCGTGCAAAGGCTCCTTTTGCTATTCTCTCTCCTTTGGTGGGTCTTTTTAAAATTTCTATGATGAAATGTTCAAAATATACAGACACATTAAAGAGCACATAGCCAAGGCCCCTGGAGACAGGAGGCGTGGGGGCTACCGGGTATCCAGTACTAAACGGGGTTCTCGTGTTCCCCATTTAAGAATCAGGGCTTTTCACTCCTGTAACAACTACTCCCCGCGCAGCCACCACAGCCCACGCCCTGTGCCGAGCGGCGAGGAATCCGGTGTTCGGGATGCACAGACGGCTACAAGGAAAGAGCGCTTCAACCCAGCTATAAGGCATCATTCGAGCCGCGACAAGTCTGTGCGAGATGCCACAGGCACAGACAATAACCGTGATAAGGGCTCTTGAAAGTGACTATACCCTTCGTCTTTTACTCCTCAGGACTCCTCAGATGATGCCCCTCAGCCGGAAAGTCAGTAAGAATGTGCCTCCAGTTCATCTTTGTGACGACTACTGCGGACTGTAAAGAGTTGGTTCTTCTAAACACTTCTGCCACCAGAGAGCTGTATTTCTCTCACTCATGCGAAAGACAAGTGAAGATGAATCTCTCGTGAAGTTTCTGAGAGAAAAAAGTGCTGCAAACACGGCAGGACGAGCCCCATAAACATGAGCCGTGTGCAGGCCCTGTTAGAACGAGTCATGCTTCACAAAATGAGTGGCAGTTTGGAGCCAGAGGCAGGAAGAGGTACACGGCTCACTCCATGCCCCCTTGCTCTCACCGTGTGAGATGGAACAAAGATTTACCCTAAACCTCGACCATCCACGACCTGCGATCTGCACAAAAGAAAGGTGGGTACAGTGAAAACACGTGTTGTTTGCTCCTGGGGTCTTCAGTATCTGCCTCAGGAACGGGGCTTTGGGAGCGCCTAAATGAAGGACACGGTAAGCACTTCAAATTTACAGTGCTACCTGCGGGTGAAACTCAAAGTCAATTTTTGTTTAAATGAGCCCTACATGCCTTTACCAGACTTTTCCTTAACCTGTCAGTTCAGCAGAGTTACAGAGAGGCAGCATACAGAGCCGCCGGGGGTCGCTAAGCAGTGACTCCCAGCAGAAGAGCTGAAAGGCGCCAAGTGACCTGTGGGACGGGGAAGCCAGAAAGCACGATTCCCTCAGGTTCTAGCAACTCTGGTTTGAGGACTTCCTGTGATGCAATAAGCCAGATGAGATTACCTCAAAAGCACCCAAATTCTGAAAATTATCAACACGGTTCCAAAACATTTTTTTTTTTAGCAAGACAAAAATAATATGGTCCTGATGGAACTAATTTAGTTAAAAAAATGCTTTAAAATTTTTTAAAGACTTTTTTACCTGATCTAGGTGAGGCTGTGTTGTTGGCACATGCTGAAGCTTTTTCTGCAAACTAAAAACAACTGGTTATAAATTCAGAGATCAATATACTTCCGATTTAACTTTATATGTTCCTTAGAGGTACAGAGCTAAAGAGAGAGTTTCCACAACTCAGTCTAGAACACAGTTCCAATTTTACACGCTGTTTACATATTCTTATAAAGAAAACTAACAGATTATTTAAAGATTTTTCCTAAAACATACACACATTCAACAAACTCACAAAAGCCTCTTAAATAGAGAGAACAAACTGGTGAGGGTGGGGGATGGGAAAAAGAGAGAAAGGGGATTCAGAAGTACAAGCTTCCAGTTGTGAAATAAGCAAATCAGGAAGATGAAAAATAGAGCCCAAGGATACGGTCCACAATGCTGCAGTCACATCATGCAGCGACACATGGTGACCACACCTAAGAGCACTGAGTAATACAGAGTGGCCAACCCACTGACCCACGAAACACACCTGACATCGTGTGTCATGCTTCAATAAAAGCAAATGGACAACACATTCACACTTGTACATTTACACACAATACTGGAAAGCCCTCATCTCTAGTGATACTATTTAGTGTGGCTGGATGTGTCAGTAGATTTCTTAATTCCAAGAGATCTATTACAGGCCTCAAAAAATACACGGAAACATTTTACTAATGCTCCAAATTTCATCCACGCGCCCCATGCTCCCTAACGTGACAATAAAGCTGCTACCTAAAGACAGTTAGAAGGTCCGTTTTCTCCTTTATCGGTGTTTTCCCTTGAACGTATCTACTTATTAAAAAGCAAGTAGTATCTGTAAATATACACCTGCTACATAGTCTGTTAACTGTGACTAAGAAAAAACAAAAAGTCAGAATCCTACAAAGGCATTTTTCTGATATGAAAAAGAGCAAGAAGATCAATCTGGCGTCACACCTGATAACCACAGCAGCAGCAGACATTTAGACACCGATGGGGGTCGGGTGGGAAGAGGAAAAGGACTTAAAACCTTGCAGATGTTTGGCTTTGTAGAACAGTGAGGGGTAAATTAGTAACAGCAAGTTTAGAAAAGAGGAAAGGACTGTAGGACCGGCTGGAGGGAAAAGAACCTCACTGGAGGGGCCTCAGCCAAGAAGGTGTCAAGTTAAGTCCTTCCCAGCTGGCTGGATTCTCCATTTTAGCAACTGCGCACGAGGAAAAGAGGAAAAGCGATGCAAAGGCCTGATCCACAGAGAGGGCATCACGTTAAACAGCTACTTCAAATGTCACGAATGCATTCTCGCTGTTCCTCAGCAAGTGTGGAATGAGATTACCGTAGAAAGTGTCTGGAAAATCATGCTCATTGTCTAGGTTCAATATCTAGTGTTGTTAAAAATAACTGCCAACGACTTGTGCAAGGAAGGAAAAACTTTTCCTCGACCCTCTCAGGAGCCTGGCTGGTGTGAAAAGCGGGTTGACAAACACAGATTAACAGGAGGCAAGGGTGCAGGTTTATTTACTGTTAAGTTTCATGTGACGGGAGGCTTCGCAAAGAAGTGAGGAACCAAAGAAACGCCTGTACCTGAGTGTTTGCACGCTAGGTCTGAAGAAGAGTGGAAGGTTGCACAAACATAGGATGGGACGTGGTCTGAAGCAAGTGGAGCGGACGGGGGAAACTCGGAGGCCTGTTCCTTCAGATCCCTCCGTGTGTGCCTTCGTCTTCAAAAAGAAGACGGCTCCTTTCCTCTGGGCCTAGGGAGGCTATCTCCCACGTGAGACTTTTATGAGTCAACTACTTCAGACGAAATGGGAGAAAAGATTTCCAAATCACACATCTGATGAGGGGTTAATACCTAGAATATATTTTTAAAAAACTCCCAGCTGAGCAACAACAACAAAACCACCTGATTAAAAAATGGACCAAGTACTTGAAGAGACATTTCTCCAAAAACGATCTACAAATGGCCAATGAGCACAAGAAAAGATGTTCATTATCACTAACTACTAGAGAAATGCAAATGCAAAGCTATCAGCTCACACCCACGAGGACAGCGACTACCTCAAACAACAGACAACAGCAAGTGTGCACGAGGGTGTGGAGAGACTGGGACATGTGTGCACTGCTGGTGGGAAGGGAAATCAGTGCAGCTGCTCTGGACATCAGTAAGGTTTTCCTCGAAAAATTATAAATATAAGCACCATATGATCCAGCAATCCCCCTCCTGGGTATATATCCAAGAGAGCTGAGAACAGGAGCCTCGAAGAGATATGTGCGCACCCACGTTCACAGCAGCGCTGCTCACAATGGCCAAGGGGGTAAGGCCGTCGGCACGGCAGTCACTGGATGAGCGAATACACAGGATGGGGTCTGTACATACGATGAGATGTCATTCAGCATTAAAAAGGAAAGAAATCCTGTCACATGCTGCATGAGGACTAAGGGAAATGAGCCAGTTACGGTAAGACAGATGCCAGATGATTCCACTGCATTAAGGAATCTAAAGAAGTCAGATTCTTAAAAACACATCACAGAATGGTGGGCGCCAGGGGCTGTGGGGAGAGGCAGATGGAGAGCTGTCAATCAACGGTGACAAGAGTTTCAGTTTTGCAAGCTGAGAAAGTTCTATAGGTCCATTGCACGGCAACGTGAATACACTTAACAGTACTGAATTGTTCACTGGAACATAATTGAGATGCTTAAAAAAAAGAAAAAAAGATGCTGATGTCCAGGGAAGAAAGGGATGTTCCTCTCCCTTAACAAAAAGATTCCTCCCAGGGAAAGAAGCAGGAAAGTGATCCATCACTGAAGGAGAAAGGAAGAATCTGAAGAAATACCCCAAGCTAAAATTTTTTGTTTTTCATGCATTTTCTCATAGAAACCAAGTAATACATATATTGGTCGGTGTAGAAATATTGAGGATTAATCTCTAAAGTTAACTACCATTTACAGTATAATTTCTGCAGGAAACTGCACTGTGATTTCCAAATATGCAATTGACAAAACTTTCAAGATCATAATCATTAGGAATGATCCCATATGCCAAAGGAATGACCAGAAGCTTAAATCAAGTGTGCAACTGTATAAATCATCCCTGCAACTCCAATGCGTACAATAAAAGGAAGTGACAATAAAAGTGAACAAAATACGGAAAACATACCTTATTCCAGAAAGACTGTCGAAGGCATGAAGATCTAATACATTAGACAGATCAACTCTAAAAGAAAGAAATCCAATATTAACAGTGTGAAATTATGTGAAATGTATTCAATTAATCAGGAAAAAAAAATCTCTAACTCTCTTGCCAAAAATATAGACATAAAGTATATAGTCAATCTATCATACTATTTTGGGAAACACATAAAAATAGCAAGCAAGGAACATAAAGCCCAGTATAAAAATTTTTAATAGAAAATATTCATTAAAATCAAAAACTGGTGAACAGTATAAAATCAGGGCAGAAAATTACTTGATTATTGATTCAATAGGCTATAGTTTCCCGTTTGTTGCTTCTGTTAGTTTGTTTGACTTCTAATTGTCTTTTCAATCCTGGATGTTTAGGAGCTTTTCAAATACATTCTTGCAGTCAAAATAAAATGAGTTATAGAACTGGAGCTCTTCAAAGCAGCTACTCAAAGATGTAATGAGGGAAGTGAAGCAAACGGAAGTAACACAGCACTATAATACCTCACCTTTGGAATTTCTGTGTTTCTTTTACTTCCCTTCCTCTCTTCCATGATGTAACAGGTAATATTTTAAGAATATGAGGCATCAAACCTAATGTATAAATATTCACTCTATGACCCTAATCTACATCCAAAAGAATGTGGTTTGAGATTTCATTTCCTTCAGAACAGGGTTGCCTAGAGACTGACACTTCCCACTTGGTGCTCTATCTGAACAAACAGTATCCACGGAAATTGTTTAGAGGTTATAATTAAGCCCTATTAGCAAAGCAATGACTCAAATCAGAAGAGGGTATCATACCACAAACAGCATGCGTTTTGGCTTAAATACATAAAAGTCCGTTTACAAAGACTAGTGAATGAGTTCTAATTTTTACATGAGCAGTCATTTCTCTCTATAATCAAGGCTACAATGAAGGAATGTTTAAGGAAAATGACAAGAGTATAATTCAAAATGAGACTCCAGGAGTTTGCCAACCGTTCATTGAGATTTTTTAAAAGGTGCAGGCCTGTAAGCCCGACCACCTCCTGTAACTTAGGAGCGGCCAGCCCCGCCTGAGTCTCGCCTCCTGTAACTCAGAAGCGGCCAGCCAGGCCTGAGTCTCACACGGCCTGCTGTACAACCTCACTCGCGGCAACAGTACTGTTAGATCATGACCACGTATGCTGGCAAACTCCCATCTTACTGAAAGAACACGACTCCAAAGTTATATGTTAACAGACTATGACGACACTTCAAAGTCTGTACATTCTAGAGGAAAAGAATCAGGAAAATCATCAAGCAAAGAAATAAATGTTCCACCAAGAAATTTCTGAATATCAAGTTACTGAAGAGATCAAGGCCTGACATTAAACATCTTTCCATTTTCACCATGACAGCTGAGCAAATATTTGTATTGACAGGTGACAAATGAAGTTCTCCCCCAAGTCTGTCCTCTTTACCTTAGGGAACAGCTTCAAGTTTAAAAGGACGCCTGCCAATCCTAGGACTATCTGGATCCAGGCCAAGTGGGTGAGTACCAAAAATCCGTTTTCACATACCAGTTTCTAAAATAAACTCGTTTCACACTGACAGTGTTCTTGAGAACCCATGCCACACATTTATAAAGAATTCTGCCTGATACCCAGAATCCTTTGATATTTCCAAAACACACAGGATCAACACTAGACCTTTACATGCTAAAATCGACAGAGAACAGCGTCCCCACTGAGGCTGCCTCCACTAAGCCTCTGCCCTAGTTCATGGAGCAGAGCTAGGGGTGCCTAGGTGCGTGCCTCTCTTTTCTCTAGATGTGGGGAGATGAGTGGAACGGGGTGGGGGAGCTCTGCTCTCTTGCTACGACCAGCGCTCTCTCCCTGGCGGGGTGCCACTGGGAGGTAGAGGGCATTGAAGCAGGGTTGGAGGGGAGGGGGCAAAAAAAAAAAATCTACAGAGAATAAAAAACAATACCAGCCCCTCACTTTATTTCACCAGATTCTCAATGGAGAATAAAACAGGAAATGTCTAAGATTCCAGATTGGAGTTACCAAGGACCGCCCCAAATCTAGTACCACCATGCAAAATAAATTCCTTCACTCATCCAATTAGAAAACTAACTTCCATGGCATTAAATATATTTAATTTCCTCCGTTAGAGATTAAAACATGAGAGAGTTTCAAAACAGTAACACAAAAATGTAAATAAAAATAGGAAGACAATTACCATCAGTTTTTATGCGGTGGGGAGGGGAGCTGAGCGGCTAGCCCAGGGTTAGTGTTGACCATCATCTTTTCCAAGTTCAAGGAGCCTCCAGCCAATTCCAGATCTACAAACTGTCAAACCCATCCAATGGCTAAGTCCTGAACTCTAGAACGAAATCTCCATTCCCGAAAGCATTCCCCAGGGGCACCTCAAGCTCACCGTGAAGCTCAACTAACCACCTTTTACCAACCCCCTGCTGTCACTACCTCACCCGGAAGTCATTCCTCCTTCTGTGCTTCCTTCCCTGGAGAACTATGCCAGAGTCAATCCTCCCAGAACCTACACGGCTTTTGAAACCTTTCACTAACTCCTTGCTGCCCACACGGGGGAAAACAAAAATCCAAACTACGAGTCATGGCATTCAAGACCCTTTGTGGAAAGCTCTCCCTCTCGTCAGTCACACCTCTTTTTCTTTTTCTTGTTTTTTTAATGTTTTCATTTATTTTTGAGAGAGAGAGAGAGAGAGAGAGAGACACAGCATGAGCAGGGGAGGGTCAAAGAAAGAGGGAGACGCAGAATCCGAAGACAGGCTCCAGGCTCCAGGCTGTCAACACAGAGCCCGACGCGGGGCTCGAACCCATGAACCGTGAGATCATGACCTGAGCCGAAGTCGGACGCTCAACCAACTGAGCCACCCAGGTGCCCCTCACACCTCTTTTTCTATCTGCCACACAACCATATGCGCTGGCCGCTCTAAAATAGTCCGGTCTCTGGAGTACAAACCTTCCTTATGCCTGGAAAGCAACAGCTATTCTTGTTCATCTGGAAAAACCCTACTCATTCTTCAGGACTCAAGTCAATAATCACCTTCTCAAAACTTCCTGAATCTTCATCAAGAAGAATTGAGTATTTGTTCCTCTATGTTCCTGTTCTCATAGCACCCTACACCCTACACATTTACTCTTCCTGTTATACTAATAATAGCTAGTATATTGGGTTTTGCTTGTTTCCTTCTGTCTCCCCCAATCACCCACTTCAAAGGCAGTTTTTTCTTTACCCATTCCTTAAATCCTCGACAAGCCAAGAAACACCTAGTGACTAGTGGAATGTTCAATAGTTTGCTGAATTAATGAACTTATTACTGAACAAGTGGATTTTGGTTTTCCGCTGTTCAGGTGGCTGAAATCTCCAAGACTAAAGGGAAGTCAGAACAAGGTAAGGACAGCACTTCTCCCGATCTTCCACTCCTACTTCTGAGTCTACGTGGCCCGTTGGAACTTCTATTTGCCTCATAGTCAACTTAGGTCTTACCAATAAGAAGATGTTACACAGGATTCTTATTCCTCAACTTAAATACTCAAGTAAGCCTTTTCTGTATATGCATATTATCATCTTATTATTGTCAGTTTTACTACTATGAATGTCTGTCAACCACAAAATGCTTGAGGGATTAAAATTTTACAACAAAGAAACAAACACAATAAAACAAAACTTCTATCAGTGATTTCAACTATTTTGTTAAAAACCAAATCTCTAGTTTCTAAACCAGGAAGCTCAAGTTGCTTTGCTTCCAGGAATTGGGGGAAATATTTAATGTTAACATTCATGACCATGGTAAGATTCATCTACCATGGAGGTCTGATCTTCACTGAAAAGGATCCTAATCCAACTTCAGTCCTCACAGCAAGGAAGTACTATTTTACAAAGTCCTTAGATTCTCAGAGGCAACGGCAAACACAAGACACTGAAGAAACAGAAGAAAGAAGGAGATTTTACTCATTTGTTCATTCATCCTTTCGAAGTAACTAAACCTAATCATTGCATGTCTCCTGCTCTTTAGTAATAAAACAAATGTCAGAAATGTCACATAAACATCGAAGTTGTTACACGATAAACTCTTCAAGATAAAATCTTTATGCAGGACATAAAGGTCTACAATAAAAGCCAACAGAAAGAAAAATTGAGCAGGGTCAATCCAGGAGCCTAGAAAAACTGATCTGAGATGTCTGTAAATATGAACCAAATAACTGCTATTACGACAGAAACACAGCTATGTATGGATACGGTTTTTCACAGCTTATGTCCGCTCTGTGTGGGCGTCGGTGTGTCACTCTGTAATGAGGAGAAATTCTAAGGAGAAAGAAAACGGTAGATAAAATGCCAGAGGCCGAAGCCGGCTAATGGAGGGATGGCTCTGGTAGGCATGGGAGGGGCTGGGCTCCGAGCTGCAGGGAGCACGGCTGGTACGCTGGTTCAATGCTCCCCCCACGGGCACTCCTCCTCCGCCACCTCCGCCAGGGGCCAGGGGCTTCTGAGAAGGCATTCCAGGCTGACTGCCAGCTGCTCACATGCATGCAAGCAGCTGCCGCCGTAGCCTCCCGCCCATGGGGGTCTGTCAGCACCTCTAATCTCCATCTCGGCTCACAGGCCTCTCCGCTAAGGCCCCTGCTGCGCCCCCCCCCCCCCCAGGAGAGAAACTGAATTTGGGAGCGGGCTGGCCCCGGGCCAACGGCTGTGGGCCTTGGAGCTGCTGGCTCCATCAGCTGCTGGGCCATTCTGGCCAAAACAATGAGCTGAACAGCACACCCCCGGAAGAAATTTTCTAAAATCCTAAGAGCATGCAATGGAAAACAGAATTTAATCCACAGAAATACATTTCGCAGATGTTTTAAGAATACCTCTATTTTATAAACTAAGGCACATCTGTATGAACAGAATGGAAAGACAGAAGAACCTACAGGAACTAGAAATCAACATTTTAAAAAGGGTTATTAGGAACTTAAAGGTAAAGGTTCCATGAATTTGTACACGACACATTATTTTTGCAACTATACAAGAAACAAAGCCGTTTTTAAAAAATATTAGAAGGCCTTTTGAGTACCTCAAACTAAGATCCCCAACAATATGCTTTTATAGATTTCTATGCCAGGCACTTTTTTGAGTTGTTTTAAGTCCTGTTTTCTTCCTCGGTGACCCAGTCCACCACGGCTCTGCAGTCTTAGCTACAAGGAGAAGTGGGCGTATTAACCACATAAGCCACACTCATTTCATTCAAAACGTTTTGGGGCCCCATTTTTTAAAAATGCACATATTTCTTATAACAGAATCAAGCATATTTATCAATTTCTTACTATTATTAACTTGGGTTATTTATTGTTAATATTAGTAATAGCTTTTAAAAGTACCTTGATCTTTGTGTTTCTAAAATTTTTCCCAGTCCATTTATTGATCTGAAAGAAACATAAAAATGAGGAAGAAAGGGTAAAGAAAGTAAACGTTAAACTTTTTAAAAATCGTTAAGGCACCTTATTTCTAAAACAGGAAGCATATGCAAATGTATCTGAAGAAAAAAATAAAAAACAAAACTTACTTTTTTTATACTTTATTATTTATTTCTCTTTCTAATCATAAATCAGGTCTATTCCACTTAGGTGGAAACATGATATGCAAAACATGATATGCAAAAATCTACTGCACAACTGACAAACCAGGGGCCACTCAGTGAATTATAAAGAGACCCTTCACTTTAGAAAAAAATGATCCAGAAGTAGTCAATAATTCTAATGCTCTCACAACGAGGAGATAAATCAAGATTCCTACGGATACTCAATTTCCCACAAGCACACACTGTGGAAACGGCTATTACAACCCGCTAGAAATAAAAACCTCGCTGAGTGGCTCTGACCCCAGACTGTCCTCAGTATTCACAGTAACACCAAGTCACGCATCCATGTTATTTCTCAGAATAACCTCTTTGGTTCCCTAACTAGAAACTCTACCCACTCTGCTGGTCCTTCCCTTTCTGATGCTAAGATAATGAGGTAAGATTCCCTCTGTATGGGAAAAGCTGTAACAAAAATACTCGTGAAATCCTTTTCAACACACTGTATACCTGATGTATTTATCTTTACACGATCAATTCCACTGCCTTCAGCTTTACTTGCTGAATATCCTGCCTTTTGTTCTGAGGCAAGTCTCTCCACCACCTTCTTTCGTGAATGTACCATATAACCTCATAGCTACTTCCTCTCAAATATGCTCCCCTTCTTCCAGCTCCCCAGACTACTGCCCAGCCAGCTGCCAGTCTGTGAGGTACAACCGAGAGTCAACAGCCAAAAGGTCTGCAAGCCATTAAAGCACTTTGTCCAAAGTCTTCCCTGGCGCCGCTGTGCAGGGCAGGCTGGCAAGAAGGCGGGCAGGCAACTCTGCCGATGGTAGAAACCCAGCTGAAGTGGCCAACACGGGCACAGAAAGGCCCAGTGGTAACAACCCTTCCTTTCACACCAAACGTTTGCTGCATGATTATGTCCTCCTTTCCAGCAACCACAACGATGCAGAGGAAGTTGACAAGAGAAATAAAATTTAGGAGGCCAGTGTCAAAAGGGTACCAAAATAGCAGCAATCTCCACTCACTGCTTTCATCCTTCTAGACTTTTCAAAAATAACCACTTTTCTCTTTCTTTCACAGTGCTATTCACTGCAACTTGAACTTCCTATAGAAGCCGGGAACATCATCCCCACTCATAACAGTAGCCAACAGAGCACTTACGACATGTCAGGCCCTAGGCAAAGCTTTCCAACACTGTCTCATGTAACATTCAAACGGAACTTAATGAAATAGGTATTATTCCTGTTGTAGAGATGAGACTTAAGAATACAGCAAGAAACAGACCAACGAGTAGAACCCGACCAGATTCCAAAGTCCACCATCTATACACTATGCATCACTACGTGCCATCTACATGGAGACATTATTACAGTTTTTTTATAGTGAAGACTCAGAGAATATTAGTATTAAAATAATATAAAATATGCAGAAAAACATTAATTTCTTTCTTCTTCGATTAATCACTGCAGCCAATCTCCTCATGAGCCTTACCTTTATGATTCAATTTATAACATACTATATTAACTGGGACCAAAAGAATCAAAATCTGATGTCAGCAGATTATACCCATTAAAGAGGACTAATAAAAAAAGCTACTGAATGTCTCTTTGTACATGGCATTTATTAGGTCTTAAAAAATAATTCAAAGTCCCTGAACTCTAACCTCATGTGAAAAGTCCAAATGATGGTTGGATCATTTCACACATATCTGAGTACCAGTCATATTGTCCTATGTTGACCAACCTTGGCCATGGACACTGAAGACATTCTCAGAGCCTGGAGCATGCTTTGGATTCTGTGGCTCCCTCTCTCTCTGCCCCTCCCCTGTGCATACTCTGCCTCTCTCTTTCTCTCAAAATTAAAAAACATTTTTAAAAATCCTTAAAAAAAAAAAAGAAAGCAAAGAAAAAACAGAGACAGTGAAGGAATTCAAGGATTGGCAGAGTGAGAGTGAGAACATGTAAGAGTAAAAGAAAGGATCTGGCAAGATACGTCCATGGGGAAGTAAATCGTCCTGAGTAAGGTCAGAGAACTTCATTCAGAGAAAGAGTCAAAGAGAAGATGGGAAAAGGAGGATGGAGTCAGAAGACCCTGAATATCAGTCTATGAACTCTGACCTACGCTCTGTAAGCAGTGGGAAATAACTGTACACGCTACCAGTTACGTAACAGTCAATTAGGCAATAACACATGATTCCCAAATGGTACATGAAGAAGGTGAACCATGAACCTAAGTATCTACAGGGCAATAGTTACAGGAAAAATATTTTGTATAGTACACTTTGGACTTGTAGATAGTTAACACAAAATTTCATACCTAATGGTTGTTCTTAATTTCTTTAAGTCCTCTTCTGAAACCAAGTCTGTTTTATTAATGATGATAATATCTGCCAAAGCAACTTGCCTAAATTAGCAAAGGACAGAGGTCAAAAGAGAGATGTTAAGAAATTAAAAACAGAAATCCCTTTCAGACCAAATATTTGTTAAGAACTATATAGTACTCTATACAGTAACTGAATTTACTCCCAACCTATTTATCATTCTTCAAATGAATAAGCTGTATCCATCACTATATAAATTCAGGATTCATATTTATTCATTCAAAAAATATTTACTAAGTGCTCTCACTCTGAAGCTATAAATATAAGTCCCTAAAAGTGTGCGACCAAGGATGATTTTCAACTCATGATTTTATTTGTAAAGAAATGTATACAATTCAGATATTCTATATGGTAAAACATGGACAGTCTACTGGCTAAAATCTTCCAGGTAACAGTTACCATAATTTTCAAAGAAACAGAACAAATTCACTTAACATTAACACTAAACAGTTTTTTTTTAAACTACTCTTCAGAAGATACAACAGGGTCCTGAGCAAATTATCTTCATCATTACAAATATGTATTTTTTCTGTAAAACAGATACACAGAAATTCAAGTTAAAGAATCCCACTGACAGAATGCTAGAGAACGCAACAGCTTACTATAATCAGAAGTAGCAGAGCTGAGCATTCTTTAAATTGTCCTCAATTCTTCAGGAAGTTTTAATCACTAAACTGTTTTTTCCTAATTCTAGTTTTATGCTACTTGAAGATCCAGCCAACTGTTTAAAAAAAAAAAAATACTGTCAAATTCTCAAAAATAAACTGATTCACTGAAAAGGCAAGTTTCAACAGTATGTACATTACAATTCGATTTTGTTTAAGTAAGTGTTCTATCAATAAAGATTTAATGTGGACATCTCAAAATGCAAACAGTTACAATCTTCACATTGGAGGCTTTCTACGTTTAACTTTATTTTGGCTTTTATGATCCTTTGCTATTTCCTATTTAGCTTATTTACATTTCCTATAATAAACGTATTTTGGCAAGGAAAACAGTTACAAAAATATTGTAAGTTCAGTCTAACCTGCATCACACCTACATACCAAATGCAGCATTCAGGCAGGATTACAGAACCACAGAGTACCACGTTCCAAAGCGACAGGAAGTCAAGTGCCTGTTTATAGCCTATTTTTATGTCTGAATCATCCTAGCAAACCTCAGGGAGCCTTCTTCTTAAACTCAGCAGCACACTTAGCAGCTACGGTCGATCCCAAAGTCTTTTTCCCATTAGCAAGAATACGCTTAGGGTAGGCAAACTAATTTAAAGACAACCCAGTTAGGAACATACAGGCATTTAAATAAATTTAAAAAATGTTCTAAATACCAATTAAAACTAGTTCCATATCTGTTCCTCTGTTGTTCTGAATAACAGTAAACGTGAATCAGATGCATTAGTATGAGGGACGGTAGTGAGTCAGCTCTTTTCTTTACATCATTTTCAATCCCAATGAAATTGTATAAGAACAAAAAATAGTTTTAAATGTTCGCTTTTCCCAAGCTCCTTTCAAAGAACTGTTGTGTCCAATACTCATTTTATGCTATAATAAAAAAGTCTTAAATAAAATTTTAGTCATCACACCATTATACATAGTTAGCAAAAATACAATTACAGGAAAGAAAGGTAACAAATCTTCCTTAACTTTGTTTTTATACTTCTCAGTTTGGTTTTGGTTTTCATTATAATTTTCTCTCCTTAATTAGCCAGTAACCAATATATACTTTTAAAATATGAATACCTAGAAGCTTCATTGATAAGGCCATCAGGTTTTTCTTCTTCTAAATGCTAAACAAAAACAAAGTTTGAAAAAAGTTACTGTGGTATATATAACACAAATTCTAATGTTAACACAAGGAATTTTACTTTGGAGAATTTTTTCTTGCTTCCAATACAGACTTCAGCAAGATCTATTACTAAGTAAGCAAATGCAGAATTAACTTTTCTAGCTAAAAGTATTTTACTCCCCATTCGTGTTTTCCTATAGTGAAGCTGTGGGGGTTTCTTTTGGGAGGGGACGGGACTTAAATTTTTCCCCCTGGGACTTAAATTTTTCCCCCTGATGTCTCCTTTTTCAAAGGAAAACCCTCCAGATTTAAATCATGTCAATAAAAGCAAAGAACGTTACAGTTCAAATTTTAGGCACTTTCCTTTTCACAAAACTGTTTTTGTTCTAAATACCCTTTAATTATTTATTAAAAGAGAGAGAGAGATAACCACTGAAATAATGCTTTCTTAAAATCTAATATCCTTCTCTCCATTCCAATCCCACACCCCATCCCCTACCCTCCCCCTCGTCCCCCCCTCCCCCGCCCCAAATCATACACCATATGGACTCAATACTGGGCCATTCACATTCCCTAGAAACAAAAAAGCAGTGGGAAGGAGAGCGCCACAGGACTAGCCTAAAAACAGTTTCTCCTCTCTAGAAACCCACACCTGAGTGGGTGTGATCTGGCCCCACAGTTTAACTGTTTCTTTTTCTGACTTCTCCAGAGTCAAGATAGCTCCAAAAAAATATTTTGACATTGACTTAGGAGGCCACCAGGTAGTTTTCATCTCTCTGGAAGCAGTTACTATTTTTCCATAATCCTACTTAAATCCCTAAAGGCACCCATGCCATAAGGTTCGTCCCTGCAAAATGTCCCACCTTCAGTACTTTAACCCTCACCAGATTCTCCTCCTCACAATAAAAAGCTGCCTACTGAGGTCAGAAGCAATTTGATATTAATGTTCTTTGTATTAAGCAATTTGATTATATTAATGTTCTTTGTATTTGAAATCAAAATTCACAAATTCTTAGGTTTTTTTACATAATCTCACGTAGCCTTCATAATCATTAGAGGAAAACGCCATTCTCCTCCTTTTGTAAAAGAAGAGACTAAATTTCCTCTTCTTCTGTCACTGCCACAGGATGCCCTATCAGCGGGGGTATCTTTCAGAAATTGAAAACATGCTCAATAGAAGTAAAATGAACATAATTTAAAAACTTGTGAAAGCCTTTTATGTCATATAAAATCAATCTTGTATACACGTTACATAAATGGTTAACAATCGCATAAGAGTATACACATAAAGATTACCTAAAAGTTACATTCAAAATTATATTATTATTATTAAAACATTATACCAAAAACTACTCCCTGACAAGAGACAAAGTTTACTATTTTTGCTAATCATTCCTGTCCTGAGGCTACTGAAAATCCTGTTACCGCGTCCTGTACAGAATAAGGCTGTTACCGTTCCAGAAACAGCACCAGGCACAACACATATTTGTTGAATGAATTCTAGTTAACACTTCCTATTTGCTGACAAGGATACATGGGTACTGTTACTTGAAATATTCTATATAATGTGCAGCAACAATTCCATTTCTATTCAGCAATCCATTTAACAAAGCATCTGTTTTTGAAAGATCTGTAATATTCTAGTTCTTTCAAAAACTTGAAATATTTTTCAAAATGTATGTCAACCTTTGGGAAGATTTATATATGAGTTGGGGGCTATATGGTTGTGAGTTGGTGGGATATAAAAAAGATATGGCAAGAAAACTAGAGATTTTGTTTTTGAATTTCCATACCAAAACCGAACTAATAGTGGTTTCACAAAAGTAACCCATGTTTTTAGCATTTATTTCTCCAAAAGATTAGAAACCTATACTCAAAGCTAAGCAACATTTTACAACCTTCTGGCAGTCAAGAAGTAGCAAATATAAAAACACATTAAAATCCCCAAAATACAAATAGGCCAATATATACAACTCTATTATGAATAAGACATGTAATCATCACAAATAATGATAGAAAAAGAGATATGTGTTCTATGCATATATGAACACAACCATCAAGAAATAATAAATGCATGTTAACATTTATTTTCTCAGGGTACCAGCCCAACATTTCCCCTATGCAACTTCCTACCTCCCAAGTCAAACTTTGCAAAAAGACTAAAACAGGGTCTGTTATTCAAAAGGACATTCTCCAATACTGGCCCTTCAATCGGATGACTTCCATTTACAGAGTTAAAAAATGGGAATTTTGATATTCTATTCTACCTGTATAGGCAAAGAAGAAAAACATTTGTTAAAAAAATCTTTCAAAAATTTTATAGTGTGTGTGTGTGCATGGGAACATATGTATACATAACCCCAAAGGATTCCACATGTCTACTTAGAGACTGTGGCTTTTTGCTTGCATATTTAAAAAGATAAAAACAATTTTAGTACTAATTAATCTACCACACCCAAAAAGTTAGGATTCAACCCTCCAACTGAGCACATGGTAAGGCAGAAAGGCAGCCTCTGAGATAATGCCACTGGGGAGAAAACTTCAATAAAGGCCAGAGAGTGTATTTCTCTGTAGAAACAGAAACAAGCTGGACCAAGAAGGAGAGAGAAAGACAGGAGGAAAACACTGTTGTTGACCCAAGTGGAAATAAATCTAGTGTCAAAGATGTCACATGACATTTAGAAAAAGCAGTGGCCATCTCTTTCTAATGGATTGGTTATAGATCTAACACTATCTCAGCTCTTGAAAAATGATTATTGCATAATGTCAGTCTATTTATTTTTCCAGTCTTTTCCAAGCCAAACTGTTTTCTGACTGAATTGTTTCAACAGCTAGTGCAATATAACAAAAGAGCCAAAAAGAAACCTCTCCCTTGACCTTTTCTGTGTAACTTCATTCATTGATTCTATTGCATTAAATGCTGTCACGTTTGTAGAACTGAAAAGAACAATGTTGGCAGCCTGGGTGTCAAGTCTTGAGAATAAAGAGCTGTCATTTGAAGTTGTCCAATTCTTTGCCCATGATTAAAAAATGAATATTTCAGATCAATGGGTGACAATCCCATTAGAGTGATAGCCCATGATATCAATTACCACTTCAGTTTCAATTTGGCTGCCTGGCCACAGGGTACCATTTCTCAGCTTTACTTGTGATGGGCTGGCTCTGTGAAGCATGACACCTTAAATTGCTGCCCATTATCCAAGTGTCATTACTTGTACTGCCTCAGAATTCTCTGAATCACAAGCAGCTACTGAGGTCAAGCTCTGCAACCAGAGGAATTGGACAAGTGGGCAAATTCTTTATATAAAAGAAAAGTTATTTATCTGGCATCTGACTTAGAAAATCTAAAGTTTCCATTATCCTGACAGTATGTCAGTTTTGTGTAGGTATATTGATTTAATAATTTAAGAGGTTTTATCAAGGTGGCAGGAGGTTAAACGTTTACGGTGTTTGCATTATTCAAAATGTTGCTTTGTTTATTTGGCCTCAATTCAGCTGATGATAGATTCTTTTCAACTCCTCTGCAAATCTAAATATATGTATAAAATTATTCTTATAATAATATATAGAGTTTTACTCTGAGTACGACACATTTGAAGTCTATCAAAAAAAACTCCAAATAAAATGTCTTAAACTGCTATACCAATTTATCTGAAATGTGGTAATTAAGGTATACAAGAGATGAATTCAAATATGCCTGTAATAAACACTTAGAATAAAGAATATGATTTCTTTTGGCCCCTCCATAGACATTTTGTTAGAAAAATACTGATTTTGGAATACGTGGAATTTTTCTGAATAAAATTGTAATATTCAGAATCTTTCTTTAAATCTTAAGACTATTAATCATTTTGGGCTTAAAATCTACAAAGAAATCTCCCAAACATCTCAAAGTCGTGTCTTTTCTTCCCAAGAGAGCCAAAGGCCAGTGAAGGGGTACAGGTAACCACTTCTCAGGCCACCACATATTCCTAGAGCATAATTTTACTGAAGGGCGGGAAGGAAAACTTTTCAAATCAACAAATTCAGATAAACTGTGAAGCAGAATACAAAATGGGCTTGAGTTTTTAGATATTATATGAAAGTTGTAAGAGATGCTCACTTCGGGTGCTATCCATACTCCCAGATCGGGACCAGGAGAAAGAGAATTTCATTGTATTTTGCCTTTAGTAGCATTTCACTCGGAAAGCTGAGAAATACTGTTTTATTTTATGCAACATGTTTTAGGAATTCCACTAAGTGCACTTTATGAATTGCAGCCCATGGTGGTAGTTAGGAAAGCTTCACGGGAAGATTCCCTGTAAACAAGCTTCCACTCACAACATCCGTGAATAAATCCTGATTTCTTCAAAATAAAGTAAACCGATTATTTTTTTGAAATTCAATTACCTCCAGTTTGTGTCTGATAGCAGTTTACCAAGAGAAAAAAGTTCTATGCTTTAGCAAGCTCAATTTCTTCTATCAAGATGAACTTCTGACAAAAGTTCTTATTTACCAACATTTCACTGGGGCTGAATCCCACTGAGAAGTTTACATACCGAAACTTTATCCTGTCCTATCCTTATTGCAAAATATTATCCTTTCAACTTTTATCACACCAAGGCAGAGTAACAGAAAATAAATATTTAATTCAAAAACACAAGTGGGGGGCCGGTGGTTCAGTCGGTTAAGCGTCCGACCTCGGCTCAGGTCATCATCTCAAGGTTTGTGGATTCGAGCCCCGCATCAGGCTTCCTGCTGACAGCTCAGAGCCTGGAGGCTGCTTTGCACTCTGTGTTTCCCTCTCTCTGGTCCTCCCCTACGTGTGCGTGTGTGTGTGTGTGTGTGTGTGTGTGTGAGTGTGTGTGTGTGTGTCTGTCTCACTCTCTCAAAAATAAACGTTTTTAAAAAAACATTATAATTAAAAGACACACGAATTTCATCTATTATTCAAGATAGTAAAAAAAAAACTTTTTGTTAAAAAATGCAAACAATGCAAACAAAAATGTAGAGAAAACAATATTATCGTCCCCATATACCTAGCTTTTAACAAATTATTAGCAACTCACAGCCATCTTTCAACTTACTTTTAATCCATATTTTGAATCCACAACAGTTATGATACCTACAAAGGAATATCTCTGTTAATCACCTTTATATGTGAGAATGAAAATCACAACTAATCTAGTTCAGTTCAATGTTACTCAATAAAATAAGGTATTGGTTTCTCTCTTGCCAGTGCTGCAATTTGATTCAATCCTACCAACAGGGAGATACATTTCAAACTGAGTGCCTGGCACCATTGTAAGGCATTAGAGGTCACACAATAAAGTTTTTAAATTAAATAAACAAAGAAGCAAGTAAGAAAATAAGATTTCTATGACCTTGAAAAAGCTTACAATTCAAATATGATGAGATAAATTCCATCACCTAAAGTGGAATGTGAGAAATTACACAAGACGGGTTATTTCCGGTGTACATTCATATAACCAAAATCAAGACTTTTCTGAACATTTAAGTTATTCCTTAACAAATCTGAGATGTCTTAAATGTCTCATTCCTAGTAATTTGCACCAAATCTGACTCACACAAATGTCTTCTATAACACGAACCTAAGTTTCCAAATGGTCAATTCGTTTGACAATCTCTGAATCTGCATGCCAAATAACTGTTTCACAGGACAGCAGCAGGAGTTTGGTGATGCTCAGGGAACTCAACCATCTACACGCCATATATACTAGAGCCAAATGATTGAAGACAGTCTTAAATTTCACTTTTTAGTCTATGGGACACCTGGTTTAAAGAAAGGTCAAGGGTGGGCAGGGCACAATTACTTAATTCAGAAAGTTTCCAATATGTCTTAAATGAAGCCTCTGAATAAAATTGCCCAAAAGTGTAAAGGTACATACAGTAAGGGGTGAAGGGCTTGCTTAATTCTTATCTTAAGAAAAAAATGAAAGCAGAGATATGATCCTCATACTGTATATTTTAGTTAAAAAAAAAAGCTCTCTCACATACTAAGTATATAAATCAACGGACATAAGAAACCTACATAGCGTTTCTTTTTTAAGTGTATTTTGAAAGAGAGAGCTATTGGGGAGGAGCAGAGAAAGAAGGGAGAGAGAATTCCAAGCAGGTTCCATGCTGTCAGCTCAGAGCCCGACCTGGCGCTTGATCTCAGGAACCTTGAGATCACGACCTGCACCGAAACCAAGAGTCAGACGCTAAAGTGACTGAGCCACCCAGGCACCTGAATAAACCTACATACTATTTTATTTATTTTTTTTTAATTTTTTTAATGTTTTATTTATTTCTAGGAGAGAGAGAGAGAGAGAGACAGCACGAGCAGGGGAGGGTCACAGAGAGAGAGAGTCACAGACTGAAACAGGCTCCAGGCTCTGAGCTGGCAGTCAGCACAGAGCCCAACGCGGGGCTCGAACCCACGAACCGCGAGATCATGACCTAAGCGAAAGTCAGACGCCTAACCGACTAAGCCACCCAGGCGCTCCGCCTACATACTATTTTAAAAGGAAAACCTTAGTGGACACACTAAATCGGGAGTTAATAATAAGATCTGACATCTAGCTATACCACTGTCTGGGGCTCTGGAATCTGTATAAATAAAGGCTTACTGCACTAACCAAACAAGTTTAAAAGTAACAATGTGGGGCACCTGGGTGGCTCAGTCCATTGAATGTCTAACTCTTGATTTTGGCTCAAGTCATGATCCCAGGGTCGTGAGACCGAGTCCCATGTTGGGCTCAGTGGTGAGTGTGGAGCCTGTGTAAGATTCTCTCTCTGTCTGTCCCCCTCTGTCCCCTCCCTTGCTAGCAGATGCTCTCTTTTTCTCAAAAAAAGAAAAAAAGGATAAATGCAAGGAATTAAAATTATAATATGTAACAAAAATAATCTTAACCATAACATTTTACTTAAAAACAAAAGAATATTTGCTTTTTAACTTACCATCAAGATAAATATCGACCCCTAATTCAGCATCAACCCAAAACATAGAGGCTACAGCACCTAAAAAAATATATATAATATTCATCACACAAAAATACTTCTTCAAACCAAGAAACACTATTCTATCCATGCTATTTTAAGTTGTCCAAACAGAATTAGCAGGAGAACACATATACAAATTAAGAATGGGTTTCCAAGCTTCTTATGGGAATTATAATGATGGAATCTTTTTCTATTTATACTCATTTCTTCCCCTTTCTTTCTTCCTCCAAAAGAATGAATGAATGAATGAATGGAAGGAAGAAAAAGTAAAAGTGGACCAGCTCTTCTCATATACAAACCCAATACTAAGCTTCTATCATGCATAATAATTTACCAACAGATATTAGCAAATAATGTGGGCAGTATGGATATGTGCACACAGGACTCATTTTTTTTCTCTCTCAAATGTAAGAATCATACAGTTCACAAATAATGAATTATCTCTCTAAAGGCAAGCAAAACAAAACACAGATAATTCCAAAGCCACTTGTCCAAAAAAGAGAAAAACGTACAAGATGCGTAGAAGAAAAAGAACGAAAGGTAAAACTACACACTCTATGGCATTACTAACAAAACCTTATACTAGTTAATACGGATCTAAAATTTGAAGCTGAGGAAAAATGATTCCTAAGTAAGAAAATAAAACTTGCTTATGACAGAAAGTGGTCGGGTAGCAAACCACGCGCACGGGGTTAGCATGCCAGGACCCAGGAAAAAGAAAACGGACAGTAAAGGAAGTATTTGATTTTTCAAAGCATCAAAGGCGCAGTTAGTGACAGGGCTGTCTAGAAGAATGAGCACAGGGACAAAACAGGGAAAACTGAACTCATTTCGGTGTCTGAAGCTGTCCACCTATCGGGAGGAGATGTGGTCCCCCAAGTCTCACTCTGTGTCAACAGGAAAACACCTGTCAGCCAGTTACAGTGATTACTCATGCAAGATATAGCAAGGGCCCCAAGACCTAATGGTTTCCTGATACCTATTGATTTTTTCCCAAAAACTTAATAGTTTTCCAATTTGACTGAAATAGGATTTGTGAGTAACAGGGGCGAATCAATGCCTGTTCTTTTCAAGGAAATCACTTTACCATGACAATTATTTAGCTTACACCTGGAGGGTGTCAGTCTCCTAAACGGGGAAACAAGTGAATTGCCAATAAGAATTTTCTTCACTTACTTGGCTAACAACATGATTTTAATTAATGAGGGAGAAGAAAGTAAATCTCCCGTGAGTATCATTACTCCAAAGAGTAATTTAAAAAAAGTCTTAAATTTTTTTATGCAGTAAAATTCCACAGTGTTCATAAATCATTTTTGTTTTTTTTTTTAATTCATAGATTACTATTCAGATAGCTTGAAAGTCCTACACAGGTAACATGTATATTATTACGCTGAATTACAAGGGTGTATCCAAGCTTTTTTCTAAGTCTGATGTGCATGTCCGGTGATACTGCTCAGGCTATGCAAGAAAGAACTATTTAAAATTTAGATGCAGGTATGGGGCGCCTGGGTGGCTTAGTCGGTTAAGCGTCCAACTTTCACTTAGGTCATGATCCTGCGGTTCGTGGGTTCGAGCCCCGCGTCGGGCTCTGTGCTGACTGCCAGCTCAGAGCCTGGAGCCTGTTTCAGTCTGTGACTCCCTCTCTCTCTGACCCTCCCCTGCTCACGCTGTCTCTCTCTCTCTCTCCTAGAAATAAATAAAAATATTTAAAAAAAAAAAAAAAAGAAAATTTAGATGCAGGTATTTAGCAAGAGGAGGAAAGATGAGATAGAGTTGATCAGTGGTGCCAAACCCAGGGTGATTTTTCTCCCCAGAGAATACCTGGCAATGTCTGAAGATATTTTTAATTGTCTCAACTAAGGGAATACGACTAGCATTTAGTGGGTAGAAGCCAGGGATGCCATTAAACACCTCACAATGCAGAAAAACAAAAACAAATGAAAATCTTCCACAAGATGCACGAGACAATCCCCAAGAAAGAACTAGCCACCTAAACAACATCTGTGCCAAGGTTAAGAACTGAGCTAGATTACAGAATCTCCCTTATTCAAAGCCTAATATAAAAAATTTAAATAGAATGTAAAAAGCCAATTATATCAGCAACAACCAAATATACAGCCTCCTGCGGTAAATTCTGAGGTGAGACCATCGAAAAAAGAAACAAAGTCCTATGTGACTTATTATAATTCTTAATTCTACCCCCACCCTCAACCAGTGAGCAGTTGTGGGGAAATAGTTTATAAAATCCAAATACTTACCAGAAACAGCTCTCAAAATAGCAAGAAAGGGAAATGAGCAGAGATTAAGGGAAAAGTCAACAACCCAGGGTAAAAGTTTCTAACCATTTCTGCATCTGCGGAGGGGGGAGCACCTTCTGGGGCTCACAACGAAATGAACTGGAAGGTCCGAAGCTGGAGAATATACCGGCACAAGGTACGGAGCACGTCTTTACTAGAGGCTGGCAGAAAGCCATGAGGGCAACACGTGTTACGTAATGAGAGGAGAGCCCCAACTGGCTCTCAGTCACCCCCTTTCCTTTGCCTTCCCTTCGCTGTTCCCAGCAGTACCCAGCATTCAAACTGAGGCCCAGGAGAAGTACAAGTTTGGGTGGCATGGGTAGGATATTAAAAATAATTCATCACCACCCTATGTAAGACTGAATGTCTCCGAGCCTCCGACATCAAGTACCAACATGCTTGAAAAAACAATGCACACATATTACAGCTTAGAAGAAACAAAAAAAGAAAAGAAAAAAAAAAAACAAAAACCTGAAGAGATGAGTAAGGCATATAAATGGCAAAGAACCCATTCTGGAAAGCAACACAACCCAAGACGCCAAAGAAAACTCTCAAAGGCTTATTCACGATAAAGAACTTAACACAAACACAATTAAAAACAAGCACTAAAAGGCAAGGTAAAGCAGAATATGAAAAGGCAGTTTGCAGTGCTGTAATCATATAGCCAATAAACACATCATCAACTAATTAATTATTTTAAAACATCAAGGAATAGAACAGGCACTGGTGGAAACAGAATTACTGACAAAAAGGAGCATTCGAGAGGATTAAAGTGATGCAGAGGCAAAAGTTACAAAACAATTAGAAAACAAAAGATCTAGAGAATAAAACAAAATTCAGGATAAGGAAAATGTTCCTAAATGAAGAAATAAACCTACAGATTAAAAAGTATACTGTAATCCAAGAAAAACTGATAATCAGTGACACGTAGATGCACCTCGGTTATATTACTGACCTTCAAAAATAAAGGGAAAAATTGTCAGGCATTTTGGATGAAAAAGCAAGTCACTTTCAAGGAGGCAGACAGAAATCAGACTTTTCTATAGTAATATTCAATGCCCCAATATGATAAAATAATGAGCACAAAGCTCTAATCAAAGTGTTCCCTAAGGATATTACCTCCTGCCAAGTTGTTTTTCAAGAATGGAAATACCAGGTAGCCATACTTAAACAGTAAAGGAAACAACAGCGTTGAAACTCAAAAAATAGATCACTCACAAATCCTTCCTGGTGAAATAAGAAAGGAAATCCAACCAATCAAAAAGTTCTAAGAGATCAAGGAGCAATACCTGCAAAGTTCTGAGAGAAGGAAATTTATCCTTGCCAAGTAATTCTTCAAGTATAAAAACAAAAGATAAGCACTCTCAAACAAGTATCCACGAACTGAAGGCATACAGCATTTATAGCATGAAAAGATTACCTGAGCATGAAATTCAGTCAATCAAGAAATTCATCAACTCAGGAATGAAGAAGCCACAATAGTGGTAATAAGAACTAAATTTGTTTGACATATGGGGCGCCTGGGTGGCTCAGTTGGTTGAGTGTCTGATTTTGGCTCAGGTCATGATCTCACAGTCTGTGGGTTCAAGCCCCGCATCAGGCTCTGTGCTGACAGCTCAGAGCCTGCAGCCTGCTTTGGATTCTGTGTCTCATTCTCTCTCTGCCCTTTCCCAGCTTGCACTCTGTCTCTGTCTCTCAGAATTAAATAAATGTAAAAAATAAAAATAAAACTGTTTAACAGAGAACTAAATAAAGCATGACAAAATGTAAATGTTAGAAATCTCGACACCACAGCATAGAACACAATCTACCAAAGGCAGGAGATGGGGGTAGAAGTAACTTCCTAATCTTTCAGGTCAGGGAATCAAGAAATGCTCTGCATTGACACATGTAGTTTAAAAACTAACATGCCCCATTAGTTTATGCCTTTTCAAGTCTTTTTTCCCCTTAACTCATACCCTCATAGTGAAAAAGTATTTTTCTGATACTTAGCAAATCATTTCTTTCACATTCTCTTTTTTTCAATTATATAGTATTTTGCTTGTACCTATCTTTATTAGGCAATTTATTAGACAATGCATCTCAATGATATTAATAGCCAATTTATGGAGTATCTAATATGTGCCGGTCACAGGTGGTTTACATATAATGCACATATTTTTTTAATTGAGGTAAAATAGTATATGACCTTATATCAGCTCTAGGTGTATGGCACAATAATTCAGTATTTGTATACATTACAAAGTGATCATCATAGTAAATCTATGTAAAATCCACTACCATATAATTGGTTCTCTTTATCCATTTCAGCTCCCTAAATCTTTTCCCCTCTGATAATGATCCATCTGTTCCCTGTATCTATGGTTTTGTTTTGTTTGTTCATTTATTTTGTTTCTTAGGTTCCACATGTAAATGAAATCTATTTCACTTAGCATAATACCCTCAAGGTCCATTCACGTTGTTGCAAAAGACAAGACCATCATACATCATATATATGGGATATGATGTATGATGATCTGTGTGTGTCTGTGTGTGCGCGCACGCGCGTGCATGTGTGTGTCTCACATCTGTATCCATTCATCCAGTGAAGGTTGTTTCCATATCCTGGCCATTGTAAATATAATGCTACAATGAACACAAGGGTACAGATATCTTTTCAAATTAGCGTTTTCATTTTCCACAGAAAAATACCCAGAAGTGAAATAGCTGGTTCACATGGTA